TATTCTTATGAGCATTGATAAGGTAATCCAAGATAATACCTTCTTTGCACATAATAAGTGTTCCAACAATCCACTTCTTTTTATTGTTTATCCTATTATTTTAAACGCAGGGGGTCTTGACTTTCATTACATTGCTAACTAATGGTGAAAAGGCTGCATTAATTGTTTGCAAACTGATATAACACTTTTTATTTTGCAAGACTTTAAGGAAGAGAAAGGAGTGTAATTTCACATTAAGAATAGGTCATTTCTTCTCTTTGTTTTCAGGATTACTAATAGTGCTTGCTGCTATCATGGGATGTTATGAGGATTAGGTGAGCAATGAAGGGAAGTTTTTAGAAAAGTTTCTGCCCAAATGATGTGGGCAACAAATGTTGGCCACTTGTATTATTTTCTGACATCCTCTGGTGCTGTATGGATTTTCAATTGATTATTTAAATGTCCTACATCTTTTATACACTTTTAAATTGTTATATTTAAATTGTTATTTTGATGTGAGATATTCCCAAAAATTATATGAGACAGTTTGGGGTAGGAAACACAGGTACACATATTTATAGTAACTGAGATTTTTCCTTTACAGATAGCAAGTGATCAAGATCTGTTTAATCCATTTCACAAAAAGGATAGGAAGTGTTTTTATATTTGTTAAGAATATAAGACATTATGAATGAAATTGAACACCAGTGGAAATACCCAAGGCAGGCCTGACTTTGAGGTGACTCAACTTTCTTTTCCTTAATCATAAAAATATACTTTAAGTTAAAAAAAATCATACAGGGAGTAAAGTAAACTTGGTTGTGCAAAGAAAGCAGAGAATGAGAATAAAAGGTACACTTGTCATCCTCTGAGGCACAATAATTATGAGGACAGATGGACTATGAAACCAAGACCACATCTGGCAAGGCTGTCATAGGCTCTGGTAAGTTACAACACAAACAAATGAGGGAAACAACTTAGAAATACACATGAGGAAATGTTATGCAAATGTGCAATCTATAATGGCAATATTTGCAAATGCAGCAGCTGCTAGGAAAGAGAGATGGTCTTCATGTATAATGTTCATTTGTAAAAGTGATACTTTGTCTTGAAAAAAATTATAGAAATTTACAAAGCAAAAAGTGAAAGTTCCTATCTACCTGCCTCTATGCTTCACCCATTTCTCAGAGCTAGGTATTTATTTGTTGTTTTTCTTCTAGCTACTTTGCATAATTTTCTATTGTGCATATAGAAAATTACACATTTCTCTATCTTCATACCTATTTCTATGTCAAAAAAATAGGGGATACTGTTGAACAGTTGACATTCTTAATGTTCAAAACAGTTTCCAGGTGATGAGGTGTGTGTAGTTCATCTCAGCTAGTTAATACAAGATCTTCTAAGTACTTACCATATACTTCTAGGACAGAGACTTCTAGAACATCTACTGAGAAAATCTTTATCACTACCACCACCATGTGTATAAAACAATTTACCATTTATGGAGTACTTTCATGAGATTATCTCATTTGAGTCCTGCAATCCCTGTGGTAGACTAGGTAAGAATTATTATTCTTACTTGAAAATGACAAAACAGATGCCTGAAATGGTGAAAAGATATGTTTGGTTTCTCCAAATCCTTGTCACCGTGTCAAGACACTGACCTTGAGAAAGTCAGTGGTGTTTTACCGGACCAGGCACCACTTTGAGTATAGCTACTGAAAAGAGAAGTTTGTTTTTATCATGAAAAATTTCAGACATGTAAAAGTGGAGAAAATAGTGAAATGAATCTTTATGTGCTCATTATCCAACACAACTATTAACCTTTTGCCAATCTTCACATTTACTTGTTAAGATATGAAGTTCCACATTTGGAAAGAAGAAGGGGTCCAGCAAGGGGTGGATGGGATATCAAGGATGATGGGGTTGAAAATGATCAAAGTATATTATATACATGTATGAAATGTCACAATGCAACCCATTATTTTGTACAATTAATATACTCATTAATTTCTTTGTGGTTCTGGTGTTTGAACTCAGGGCCTTGTGGTTGCTAGGCAGATGGTCTACCACTTGAGGCACAATTCAGCCTTTTTTGCTTTAGTTATTATTATTATTATTATTTTTGATTAGGGTCTTCAATTTGTGGTCAGGCTGGCCCGTGCCTTAATCCTACTATTTACTCTTCCCATGTGGCTGGGATGATAGGAGCATGCCACCATACCTAGCTTTTATTGGTTGAGATAGGGGTCTGGTGAACTTTTTGCTTGGGCTGTCTTTGGAACTCAATCCTCCTGATCTCCACTTCCTGAGTAGCTAGCATTACAGGTATGAGCCACTGAGCCTGGCCTCTTAATAAAACTTAAAAAAAAAAAAAAGATATGCAGTCCAAATTGGTGGTGATGGAGCCAAATTTGGGGATCATGGAGTATACTTTATGCAGTGCTTTTTGGATATGAACAATGTATATTCTATGTACATGGACTCAAAGAAATATCAAGGGACACACAGTATTCAGTGATTAAATTTTTTTCCTTGGATGGAACTGTTGTGATGACATCTGCTCAAATTGCCATCATTTTCACCACTGTAACCCCAGTGTGTGGTTCAGGGGTTGTGGAATGAATGAGCCTTCTCTGCAGTTTAATCTCTGCAATAGGGAGAAGCCCCATGCTTTGTAGTGTAACTAACCTTGGCATGTTTCTTAAGGTGTACTTTGTGCATCCCGTGCCCGGGATCCTGTGAGTGCTAGTGATCAAGTCCTATTCTGCATGTTTTACAGGCAGCAACTCATTTAATTCTTGTAAGAAGCCTGGAAGATACTAGAATCTTTTGCCTGTTGTATAGATAAGGAAGTAGCAAGTTGGTTAAGATCACACAGATAGTAAGTGATGGATCTGGGAGTCAAATCCAGGCAGTGTGTTTCCAGAGCCCTAAGCCAGTACTCTGTGGCTGCTCCAGGAAATGTGTCTGAATACCATCTATGGTATGGGGAATGCACTTGGGACACTTTGCTAGGCGATGGCCAGCCACTCTGAACCACTGGATCATTCATAAAAGTCACTCCTTTTGCATTGCCAGATAATGGGAGACCTTTGCACATGAAGCATGCTTTAAAAAAAAAACCAAAAAACAGACTTTGCCATTTTTCACAAACTCAAGGCACTTCTAAGTGCTGTGTAGGAGGGTATGGAGCAGACTGATTTCACTGAGCTCCTGCCAAATTCTGGTCCTGTGGCCATCAAAGACGCATCATTTCCTCCAAGACTTGTAAATGGGCTATTATCACAGGCTGGCACGTTCTGGTTTGCATTCAGAGAGACACTATCTTCTTAAGTAAGACATGGAAGAGGAAGTGTCATGACTTGTAAATAAGGCTGTGAGAGAATTGTTTGAAGATGGAGATGAAGAAATGCTGCCTTCTCTAAGCCAGGATCACTTTCCTTCCCTTGTATCCAACTCTCGTGGTTTATTTGCTGAGTTTCCTAGAGGGAAGAGAAGCCTATTTCAGAGTAAAAGAAGTAGAAGCACTAAACAGCATCTATATCAAGCTCGCATCCGTGGAAAGAAGAGGGGAACAGTCCTCAACCTATAGGTGCATGGAAGTTGCTTGAAGGAAACAAAGCATAGAAAGTCTCTGCACACTAAGTAGGATCATATTTTTTTTTCCAAAAAATCAATCGCATACATTTATTATGTTTTAGATAGTGTTAAAATATTTCAATTTTCAATCTGGTGAAGTATAAGAATAAATATAGTAAGTATTTTTAAATACCGCAAGAAAAGCAACATGCTACATTAATTAGTTAACCTAGTTTGGATTAGATGTCAAAATAATGTCCTTCATTGAAAGATGGTCCTTAAAGCTATCATTGTAAAACCATCTGGATATACCTGAGAAGTAAAAGACTAATGAAACTGGGGGACATTTGATGTCACCCTCCAGGTGTGGGAAGAAATGGAGAGTAAGCCAGGAGGGACAAATGTGGTCGAGAAGGAATCTGAGTTCCTTCTAAACACCTATATAAAACCCACTCAGAGAAAGTTGTGAGGTTTGGTCACTGAGTGTGTTGGGTGTCCAGAGCTTCATGGCTCCTGTAACAAAGCAGAGGGGTCGGGTGTGGTTGAGGGCTGAGGGTCTCTAATCTGAAGAGGGGTCTGGTCACAATGTCATACTAGGGGGTCCTTGCTCCTTGTCCCGGGAACATCGTAGACAAAAGCACTCTAACAGTCTCTCCTAAAGGACCAGTGATCTTCATGCCGCCTCTACGCTGGAGCCCCCTGAAGCCCGGCTGTGGTGTTTTGGTTTTTTTTTTGCCAGAGTCAGGAGTCTGAAACTGAAATGCCTTCTAGGAATAGGAAGGTAACTTCAAAATATTTGAAACTGCCAGCTGGAAAGAAGAGGAAACAGTGGAAAAGATGGCCAACGAGACAAGTGTATTTTCCAATTAAAGGCATTCTGATAAGGATTATAAAATTACAACTGTGCTGGCCAAACAAGGCACTATAAAACAAAACGCAAAACTACTGGCCAAGTCACTGCTAGTGCGCAACCTCACATACAGGCTCGGTATTCGCGCCTCCCTGCTTGCTCCAACCTGCTGCGGGTCCTTGGTCTTTGGGACGCGCTCCATAGCGAAGAGGGTCCCACACTTTGACGCGCCTGGCGAGGGCGCAGCGTTCCGCGCTGCCCTTCTGATGCTGATGCTCTCCAGATCTCGGGGACCAGCAACACGCTGAACCTTGGAGGGGCTCAGAGACCGTTACGGGCTACATTTTTTTTCCACCAGGAACTCAGCGCTGCGCCGGTACACTCTCCCGGTACGACTCGCGGTCTGGCACAGCTGCCGGCAGGTGGGGAGATTCCGAGATGTAGTGGGCGTGGGAAGTAGAGGATCTCGGCCGGCTACCCGGGAGGGGCGTGGCTGCTCGCAGGGAAACCCCGCCCCCGCCCATATGGCCACGCCCCCGCGCTCTAGAGTTTGGCCCGTGCTCGCACCCGGCACTGAGTCCCGGACCGTGGGAGAGCAGTCCGTGTGTAGCTGCTGCGTTTCCTCTGCCTGCACGGGACACTACTTGCGTAGTACAGAAAGCCCAGTTCCTGCCCCTCAGCCACGACAAACTCTCCTACCCGCACCCATAGACGCCCCTGCAGCCGCGTCCCGAGCCCAGGGCGCCTTCGCTCTGCGCGCCCTGGAAACCTGCGCTGCGGTGCGCATTCCACGTCCGCGCTTTCTTTGCGGGACAGGCGCGGAGAGAAAGAGCCTGCGCCCGAGTTCTGGGCACTGTGCCCAGCGCGAGGTGCAGGATGGAGAGCAAGGCGCTGCTGGCTATTGCTGTGTGGCTCTGCGTGGAGACCCGGGCCGCCTCTGTGGGTAAGGAGTGCAGTTAGTGGGAGCAAGGAGGAGAGGTCGGGTGCGGGCGGCGAGGGCGTGGGGGCGGGGTGCGGGAGGATCTAACTCGGAACTCGGAGAGTTGGAAGAGACTTTGTGTTCTTTCACTTACGAATGGAGAAACTGAGGCTCAGAGACCGATCCCAGACTATTCAGCGAGTTGGTGGTCTCCTGAGCTCCAGCCCAGTTGTTTTGAGATCTCAGCTGGAGCGTGTCCTGCGGAGCCCCCACGGCCTCGGGCTCTGGGCAGGCGGGAGTGGGACGGCGCCCTGGGCTAGCGGGCAGGAGATGCTCCCGCAGGCAAGAACAGGCTGTGGAACGTTGTGTGTCTGCGCACCACATCCTATTCCTGCGCGGGGACGGCAACCTTGAAGGAGCGCAGCCTGGTCTCCTGGACCGCATCGTGCGCTGCGCTCTGGGCCTGCGGGATGGGAGTGGGGAACAGCTTGAGGCTTCTTTTTAGCTCCCACACAACCGCACGCCTACTCTGAGAGGTAGGATCTGGCTGGAGGGGGATCCCTGCTTTCCTTCCTTGGTGCAGGACACCGCTCTCCTCATAGAGAAAAGAGGGGGAACTTTGGAGATAGTGTTCAATTCAGTGACAGCTTCTCCAAGTAACTATCAACATTCTGTCCAAAACAACTTAACATTTTTCAAAACTTAACATGTTTTGGCTCTGGGGTGAATGCATAGTCAAAAATTCAAGCTCCATATACCTCTGCGGGCTTGCTATCTAACTCTAATGTTACTTTCCTTTGTCAACCAAAAATTTCCCTGTCTTTCAAGATTAGGAACACACATGCTGTTAATGCAAAAGCATAGTTTCTCTACTCTCCTCTTTCTCTTCCTTTTCTTCTCCCCCACTCCTCTCTTCCTTCCCTGATTCTCTGTTCTTCTCTCTCTCTCTCCCCATCCTCCCTTCTCCCTCTCCCTCCCCTTCTCATTTCTTGTCTGTAAGCTACAGTTTGCTGATTTCCAGAGTTCCATTCTTTGAAGGGTGAGAAGGGGGAAAAAGTCAATTCCACGAAAACATTCCTTGTATCAAAAGAAAAGAATCACATGTCTTAAAAGACACTGACACTCACATACAGTACCAAGATCATCTGTCTGCAGTTATTGAATTTTCTTAATAATGACTTGGTTCATCAGGGTCAGCTCCATCAGGGACACTCATTTGTCCCTGACAAGACCTCCCACTCCCCCTCTCTGGAAGAGAATGAAAGTCTGGAACATGCAGTTGTTCTGTATTCCACAAAGAAGTGAGTTGCTTTTAAGCCTGAGTGTTTGGTAGTGAAGCAGTGTAACGGTAATCCGGCTGTCTGAATATAATGGTGAGGTTGCCCTTTTGGAGTGTGTGACTTGCTTAATTGGATTGGGCTGTAATTGGTGCCATCAAATTCTAGAGACAGAGCCACTGTTGTTTTTCCTTCTCGTCTTTGAGTTGGAAGGGTAACAGTGCACAAATTAATTAATGTTGGTTATGAGATTTGAACATAAAAAGGCTTTTTATTGAGTCATAGCATATGTACCTCTTACAGTCATTTTATTTAGAACTTTCTGAAGCATGGGACTCAAACTTGCCAATGAAAACGAATGAAGCTTAATGGAGCAAAAAAACAAACTTTAATGTTGGTCTCAAATCATTGGTAGCCTTATTGAATAGATTTTTGTTGTAGACATGTTTTTACAATACTGTGGTGTTGTCTTGGCTTCCTATGAATGGAGAATGTATCTTTAAAAAGCTTCCATAGCTAAAGTGTCTAGAGTGTGAGATGATGTGTGACAATACTTTATGAGAGACTTTAGAAAAGTCTCTTCCAGGCTGTAGGTGTAGCTCCGTGGTAGAGCCCTTGCTTAGCATCCATGAGGCCCTGAGTTTGATCCCCTCACTGAAAAAAAAAGAAAGAAGGAAAAAAAGAAAGAAAAAAGAAAAGTCTCCTATGTTGGTGGCAAGGTGGACATAGCTTATTGAACAGGTAGTCATTTTACTATCATTTTTCCTTACATAAATACACCCAACTAATGGTTTCTTTCTTATTTGCATAATTGCACAAATTGTATTAAGTTACTATTTTCATTGTTATGTTTCTCAGTCAAGTTTCAAGTCTGTTCATTCAAATGAACTCTTCTTAGACAAAGTGGGATTCCACTTTTGGAAGACTTGCCTGCTTTTAAACATTTTTGCTTTGTTGTTTGCTTATGTTGGGGAAAAATTCCTTCATGTTGAAAAGTGTTATAGACAAGTAGCTGTCTACAACATTAAAGTTTAAGAACCACTGGCCAAACACAAGTCACTACCAATGTCAGTTAGTGTCTGAGATCTATTGATGCAATGTAATTTCCAGGGCTTTTAAAACTGTGCAATTGATCAGTGCATCTACAGTTATGTAAGCACCATATTTGCATATCTGTGTGATGTATGAGAATATGTGCAATCAGTGGCTGGTGTGCTTGCAGTCGTTCACCTTGGGAGACACAGATTCAGTGCACTGGATACTTGCCCTGGTTATTTGCTTATACTCTTCTTTATTCATACGGCCTCATATTTGCTTGTATTCATTCAAATTCACTTATTTGCCTAACAGTGTATATGCCAGCTTAGGCTAGGAAATCATTTGTTCTTAATTGATGTGCAGTAGAAAGTTTGGGTGCTTGCCCAGCATCAATCACTTGGTTATTATTTATTCTTTTGAGGTAGGTTCTCACTATGTAGCCTAGGCTGGCCTTGAACTCTCTATCTTCCTGCCTCAATCTCCTGAGAACTAGGATTACAGGGATGCATTACCACTTCTGGCTGGTCAATTACTTTTTAGGCCAGCTCTTGATAGCTGTTGAGGCCCCTAGGATAATGGATGGACAGCTTTTCTTTCTGTCATACTTTTTCAATACCTGGTAGCTCTCAGTTTAGTTGACAGATAACTCAGCTATCTTTCTGTGAACTGACCCAGGGTGAAGAATATATTCCATGGTATTTTTCTGCCTTTTAAGCCTTTAGGTAAAGACAGGTTTCTTGTGTTCCAAGCTTGGTGTCAGCATGAGCTCAGAGTTTGATTAATATGTTGAAACTTCCCGATTGTAGTTGATTAGCAATATACTATTTTTAGTACTGCTCTCTGAGGAAAAGCATGTTAATATGCATGTATGCATGAAATTGGGAAACGTTTTCTCTTCCTCAATTCTTTCCCCCACATTTTAATGTACTGTCTTTATGAGCCATTGTTTCTACCTTTGCAGCTCAGTTACCAGAGGAAATGCACTAGAAAATTGATAAAGGACAATGGGACAAGGTCATAGTTACTCTCCCCCTCTTCAGGGAACATAGATGAGCTATATAGAAATCTCTCTAAGCAGTATTCATTAATCAGCAATTTAGTCAGATGTGTACATCCTATGTTTTATAAGAAATGTCACTCGGTCCTTTCCCAAGGGACTGAGATCATCAGGTGAAGGTTCACTTGGATTCAATGTCCCATATCCTTTTGTAAGACCTTGAAGTTGGCAATGCAGGAAAACAGGAACTCCACCCTAGCGCCATGAATTGCAGAACTGTTGTGTTGGTTTCTGACCATCTGCCCATTCTTCCTGTTATGACACAGTTTGTGAACTTTTACTGGGAATGGAGAAAAGTAAATCCCAGTTTTATACAATGAATTGCTGAAGAGGCCTTTTAAAGATTGTAGTATGCATTTATGGAAGGTGTTTCCTACTGGGTCTAACTTGAACTTATTTAATTTGTTTCTAGGTTTGCCTAGTGATTCCCTCCATCCACCCTGGCTCAGCATACAAAAAGACATACTTACAATTATGGCTAATACAACTCTTCAAATTACTTGCAGGTAAGGATTCATTTTAGATTCAGATTTCCTGTGTTAAAGAACTCATTGTTTATTCAGGGAAAAATGATTTCCATTACAGAAGGATTATAAGAGTGTTGTAGTAACTGTTTATAAGTAGTGAGGTTTCTAAGAACTCATGTGATAACCAATCAGTGAGAAAGGTTTTGTCTCAAAAATTGCATACTATTTTGCTGATATTTTTCTACTACTCTTTCAATGTGTACACACCATATACACTTATGTGCACACACACACACACAGCACAACACCTAGCATATAATAGATAGTAAATATTAAATAAATAAATGAAACTGAGGCATACCCTTATAGAATAGAGTTGAGGAAGTTTTGAGCCATATTTATTTTACTCAGAATGTCTTTTGGGTATCTTTTTTAGCCCTTCATAAGAACTTTATTTCATGATGAAATTCTGAGTGTGGTAGCAATTTAATTTTTAGCCAGTAATATCACTGAGTGCATATCCTCTACAATCATGAAACCATGCTCTAGCCTAATGTTCTGGATGGCTCTTTTCCTTTCCCAGAAAGCGGCCATGCTGTTCATTTTTGATAACTGGGAAAGCAGGACCTCTTTGACAAGAGAGGTCTTTAAATTTTGCTTTCCATCCAGGAGGCAAGAAAGAATAGGTAGAAAACCTTGGAGTTGAACATGGTGGTCGTTCATGAAAGACCCAGAGACTTCTAAGGACCAGTGTGTTTTTGTCAGAGACTGTGATGGGTCAAGGCAATTTTGTCCTCTGGGAATTGTGCTGGGGGTCCCCAGAAAACTCTGGAAGCTTATTGCCATTGCTTCATACCTGAAGAATATCAAGTGACCAACTGAATGACACAGATCTATTTTAGACTGTGGAGTGTGAAGGGTATGCTGGTCACCAATTCTCGGCCCTTGTTGAAAACCAGAGTAGCTGTCTCTCTGGTTTTGCTAGTTCAAGATTATTTCCCAGTAGGTTTTCCTCTTACCCACAGAAACCAGAGTTGTTTAAAATCACAAAGATTTTATACTCTCTTTTGAGACTGTACAAATATTCCTTAGGTTCTGAACAAGCCATGAAATGTGTTCAAAGTAACTTTACTCTTACAGCTGCAACTTCATGAAGATTTCAAGCTCTTTGAAGGATGGGTCAATAGTGTTACAGTTTTCTTGGTGTTGATCATCTTTGGGGCCTTGTAGAAGAAGCTACAGTAAAAGTAATTCATGTCTTAATGTTTCCTTACAAAGTTCTGCCAGGCTTTTAGTTCCACCACTTTGCTTCCTAAGCTCCTCCTGACTTACTCCCTTGCCCACTTTGATTTGGCTTTTCTGGCTTCTTTGCTAGTCCCCCAATACTCCAACTGTGCACCTACCCTAGCCTTTGTCTTTGTGGTTCTCCCTTCCAGGAACACTGTTCCTACCAATATCCATATGCCCAACTTCACCAAGCCCCTCCTTCCATAGTAGAAATCTTTGTATCTTTTATACTTTTGCCCATAGCACAAATCGCCACTTTTTCTTTCTTTCTTTCTTTCTTTTTTCTATTTTTTCCTTTTTTTTTTTTCCCGGTGCTGGGGACCGAACTCAGGGCCTTGCACTTGCCAGGCAAGCACTCTTCCACTGAGCTAAATCCCCAACCCCAAATCGCCACTTTTTATACAATAAACTTTACTTACTTTTTAATTTCATACCTTCTCCAGTTGCACTGAGATTCCATAAAGACATTGAATTTTTTTCCTCTCTTTTGGTGCTGGAGGTTGAACCCAGGGCCTGTGCATGATAGGTGTTTTACCACTGAGCTACACCCCCAGCACTTAAGGCATCAATTTTTACCTGATTCATTTGCTACTCTATCATTAGTTCTTGATAATGCTTGGTGCATAATAGATGCTTAATATTTGTTGAAGGAATGAATGTGTGAATTAACAGAAAACTCAGGACTGTGTAGGTGACTTCTGATGCTGAGTCTATGGCTTTTTGTCATCTGTTGATATCAACCAGGGGTAGGAGCGTGAAGAGTTTATATAAGTTTGAGAACCAGACCTTCTGTTGTCTTAGAAGCAACCTCATGGCATGCAGTTCACTTTAATACCTTCCTGGAATTAATTTTTCAGGGGACAGAGGGACTTGGACTGGCTTTGGCCCAACACTCAGAGCGGTTCTGAGGAAAGGGTGGAGGTGACTGAGTGCAGTGACAGCGTCTTCTGTAAGACACTCACAATTCCAAAAGTGGTTGGAAATGATACTGGAGCCTACAAGTGCTTCTACCGGGACACTGACGTGGCAGCTGTCATTTATGTCTATGTTCAAGGTGAGTGAGGGAATAGACTTCATTTCCCATGTCCATTTACTGGTTATAAAACACAATAGGTACAAAGAGGAATTGAGTCCAACAAAGGGCTTGCTCAGAAGGCTGTTTGCCAAATGGAACATACAAAATTATTCTCCCTCCAGGCTTCCTCTGAGATATGACTCACTGCTGGATGATTTTGAGGTTTGGAGATGCCTCATTGCTCTTGCCCAATTAGTCGGCCCTGATCTTTTTTCTATGATAAATCTGTGATCCTCATTGGCTATGGAGACTCATAAAAACCTTCTGGAGTTTGAGAAAAAACCTGAAATCTTTGAAATCAAGGAAGATTGGGAAGTGAATTATAGAGAGGTTTCCGTGGTGAGATATGTTATCTACAACAGGGTGAGAGATTTTCACAAGAATGTATAGGGAAATAGCCAAGGACTCTGGAGTTACTTTGTATATCGTATCTTTCCTATTCCTACTTATGTTTTATAAAAAAGCATTTGCGTATTTGTGTGCAAAGACTTCCTCAAAGGGATCCTGGGAGGACAGCATTTTTTTCTTTGCTTGAGTGATCTGATAGGATTTACAATTTGGAGTTGAAACCAGGGGGACCAATGTAGTATTCATATCATGTAAATTATAATGCTACATGTATTCAGTATTTATAATATGAATTGTGCTTTTCTTTATGTTTTTAAAATCTTCCAACCCTTTTTCTTGTGACAAACCTGTCTTAACCAGTGAGCTACCTATATGCTCTATAGTTGTGAGGAATGTAAGGCTTGTGTCATATCTTATTTTGCTTTTAAGCCAAGGGAGAATTTTTAAACACATTTTATTAACCCACTTCTATGCAACTTTACATCCTTTGGCATTTGATACAGGTGAAAATGACATTTTTCAGAAGCAACATGACAGGGATTTTTGTCAGCTTTGGAAGTACACTTGCACATCTCTACTTAACGTTTCTGTGTTATGATATGCTCAGTGTCATGGAAAAGTGGAGAGCACATCGAAATAACCTATGTTGCTCTTGCATTGCACAATGAGAATGATTTTTGCTCAGGGCAAGCACAATCCAAGATAGAATTCCATGCCCTCCTCCTCCCCTCTGTGGGATTTGAAAGAGACAAGGCTCAGATCTTGGAGAATTTCTGGCTCCTTTTGATCTGGCAGTCTTGGGAGATGAGGCTGTCTCAGAAGATTGCAAGGATTTCCTGCTTTCAGCCTGTCTGGAAATACTACAAGATGAACCTCTCCCACAATATTTCCTTATTTCCTTCTCCCCAAGTCAGGAAACCTGAAGACATGTGAAAATTCATTTCAAGAGTTACAGTAAATATTTTATTTTGAGAGGATGGGTGGTTGTTTGGGTTTCTTTTGTTTACTTCCCTTTTTAGGGCTACTGAAGTAGAATTGATTTACTGTATAACTTTAGTATTATGTAAAGGGTTAATTTAGCTTCCAAAAGGCTTTCTCTGTAAACAAGTTATATAAAGCTTCCGAATATGTAGATGAAAGGTAGGCAGTGTTAAGAAATGATGGTCCTTAGCATAATTTATTTGAATATACCATTAAATTCTGCTTCCTATCTAAGCTTAGTATTCTAAGTTGAGCTATCCAAGATTTTGGTCATGAAGTTTAACAATGGGAAAAAAAAATTGGATGTAGTATTCCCTATGGGCAGGTCTTTAATGTCCCTTCAGGTCCCCACCTTAATTCCTTAGTCTTTTGACCCTGTTCTCTCCAGCAATGGATGGAGCTGGGAAGTGGGCCCTGGGCTCCTAAGGTAATGTGGAGGGCTGGATTGGCTGCTTTTCTGTGCTTTCCAGCTGGGAAGGAAATCAAACTTTTGCTGCTGCAGGGAATTAGCTGCTTTTCTCACCTTTGGTTTAATTAACTTTTTTACCTCTGAATATGCTTGATCAGATGTGTTGGGAAAATCAAGATGAAATGTTATCTCTGAGATTTCAAGCATGACTCCACACCACACCATCTCTTTTTCTGAGGAATTGAGTAGATTCCCTGCATTGTATGAATAATGTTAGAGTGACATTAAATCTCGTTTTTGTCTCAGTCTTTGGCATTGTGGCTTTTCAAATATTTGTTAATGGTGATAGTAATAACTTCCAAATATTAAACTAATGTAGTGACTTTTAAACATTACTTTCAACTTTATTTAAACTCTTATCTGTAAGCTTTACAGTCTTTCCATATAATGTATTTTTTTGGATAATTGAATTAAGAAATTGTTAGTTGTTTTCTTTTAATTGAAAGATCTTAATTTGTTTTCATGACATTTACATTATTTTCCCAAAGACAGAGAAAATAATTTTTTAACATTGTAGAACTCACAGGTTATTGTATAGACTTGACTTTAAAATTTAAAGTTAATATGTTTCTTCATTTTCAAAAAAATTATAATATCCTGTTAAAAAGGTAGAACTTACAAAAATATACTCTGCTTGCTGATGCTCCTTGTGAAAGAAGTCAGTCTCATTCTGGGAGTTTTCTTTCAAAGTTTCTTTCTCTCTCTGATACCCCCCCCCCACACACACACCCACACACACCCACCCACACATACACTGTGTTGGAGCAAATGCCCTGCAGACTAACCTGTGGATGCCTTTGCCCGTGCAAGGCATCCATTCCAATCATTTACTGCTTTGGTTTGAGTTTGTGAACCTGAAAAATGACTGACTTTTCTGTCAGTAGCTCATTGATGGAATTAACTCTTCTTCTAGATTATAGATCACCATTCATTGCTTCTGTCAGTGACCAACACGGAGTTGTATACATCACTGAGAACAAAAACAAAACCGTGGTGATTCCATGTCGTGGGTCTACTTCTAACCTCAATGTATCACTTTGTGCAGTAAGTAACATCTTTTTCAACCATCTCTAATTTGCATAATTTTGAGCTAATGTGAAGATGGGTAGCCTGTTTCCAATATCATACCCATAATGAATTGTAAAAGTCCTTTAGGAAGGGTCAGAATGACAATGAATAAAGCCAACTTGTATTGTTAAAAATAAGATGAGTCCTTTAGTGATCATCACCCATAGCTTTCACTTTTGAATAGCATTGGATTAAGCATTTGATATTTCTTTTTATTACCCAGAGATACCCAGAGAAGAGGTTTGTTCCTGATGGAAACAGAATTTTCTGGGATAGTGAAAAAGGCTTTACTATTCCCAGTTACATGATCAGCTATGCCGGCATGGTCTTCTGTGAAGCAAAAATCAATGATGGCAGTTACCAGTCTATTATGTACATAGTTGTGGTTGTAGGTAAGAGGGCATTTCCTTTCTGTATCATTAATACCAGGCAACACAGAGTAGTGGCTTTCCACAAGAAGATCCTGGAGATGAAGGAAGAAGGTGAAGATCTTCATATTGTGATATTTCAGTGTTCTCTAAAGCCCTTGATCTGTTTTCCTTGTAAGAGAATTTCTCTTTAAGAGATGGCTTGAGAAACATTTCTCCTTAAACAGTGAGCCATTCATTATATCTACTCTTTATCAAATAAACTAATGTGCAATTGAGTTTTTCTCCTTTCTTGTCAAGACCAAGGATGAAAAAGAATGCTATTACAGGTGCTCATTTAATGAAAAATCGAATATTCAGAGCATTGCTTGGCATTAGTTCTTTTAAATTTTGTGCCTGGAAAGTTTAGCAGTTTACTAAATCTGTCCCTGTTGGCCTAGGCTTTTCTGTTCACTGGGTTATAACATCTTTGAGAACCCTGAAGGTAGTGGTAATGTAAATCTTTGTAAGTCATGTTCCTGAAAGCTACCAAGTATTGGTGTGGTTCTCAGACACAAATACATCACTTTCAAAAAATAAATTGTGCCAAGTTATAGGTTTTTTTTCTCCTCTAACTTTCTTCTTTTTTTTAAAAAAAATTTACTTTCTCTAGGGTACAGGATTTATGATGTGGTTCTGAGCCCCCCTCATAAAGTTGAGCTATCTGTTGGAGAGAAGCTTGTCTTAAATTGTACAGCAAGAACTGAGCTAAATGTGGGGCTTGACTTCAACTGGGAATGTCCTTCTTTGAAGGTAACACTAACAATTCAAAGCCAGACCTCTAAATGCTTTGATAGTAAGCCCCAACAAAGTTTGCTTAAGAGATAGGGCTGTCTCTGGCCAGATAAAATATAAAGGCTTTTACACATACACACACCTGATTCTGATATATTTTAAAGGTACACATTTAGAAGAACTGTAGAACACTCTGTAACCTGCCCTCTCTGTCCCACTGTGTTGCAGTAGGGCTGTGAATATTGGTTTTCTCTAGGTGACTACATCTTTTCATATTGTGTTATTTCAGTGTTCTCTAAAGCCCTTGATCTGTTCTTCTTGTAAGAGAATTTCTCTTTAAGAGATGGCTTGAGACACATTTCTCCTTAAACAGTGGTCATACTTGCTTGTGTTCCTGCAGTCCTTATCTACCTTATTCTCACTGAAGTTTTTAAAATCCTATCTCAGTTGTTTCTACTTTTTCCTGAATCCAAATATATTTACTGTTTACATGAGGTTAAAATAAAAGTTCCTATTTTTAAGATTAGTGCTCACCAAGGGACAAGACTTGATTTTTTGTGGTTATCTAGAAATGATTGGATGTTCTGGCAGGCTCTGGAAAGAAGTTCAGTAAACATTTTTTTTTTTTTTTAGCATCAGCATAAGAGAGTTGTAAATCGCGACCTGAAGCCCCCACCTGGGACTGTAATGAAGAAGTTTTTGAGCACCTTGACTATAGATGCTGTAACCCGGAGTGACCAAGGGTTGTACACTTGTGTAGCGTCCAGTGGGCTGATGACCAAGAAGAACAGCACATTTGTCCAAGTCCACGGTAAGCTATAGTCTCCTTGGGAACTATGCTCTTCCTAGATGAGTGACATGATGTAAATAACTTAGGTCACCTTGTTCATTCAGAAGATAGTTTTGAGCTCTTGCTAGGGAGGACACATGACCTAGAGCTTAAGAGCATAGGTTTGGAGTCATGGACTTAGGTTAACATTCTATCTTTAATATACTCAGTACTTACTAAACATTAGTTGTAGCTGTTTCTGCAATTGCAATTAAGACTATATTAAGCAGAGTGTTAGTATCTAAGGTGGTTTTGAAAATTTCATTACATTGTAAGGCTGAGAGGCCTACTTGAATAAGCACAAGCTTTGTAAATTGGGGAAACTCAAATTCAGTTACTTCCTTTGGGGTTTTAGACAAATCACCTTAATTTTTCACTCATTCTCTTTCATTCACATAAATGTCTCAGTTAAGTAATTTGTATGGATCACTTCTTATAAGCTTTGGTAAAGATTTTGGATTTCACGTACGAGAATGAGTCAGAGAGATATGGGCTTTTGCTTACGTTTTTATAGAATCACTCTGTAGATTGTATGGTTTACTTTAAAGAAGTAAGGACAGAAGAAGGGAGACCAGTTAGAAGGCTAATTGCAAGAATTCAGGGGAGACATGTTGAACAATTCAGAGCAGGATAGTCAAGGTGGATGTGGTGAGGCGTGATCAGGTCTGAATGTATTTTGAAGGGGTGGTCAGCAGGACCTTCTGATTTACTCTTTGGCTGTGGGGAGTCAGAGAAAAATTGTAGAAAACAACTTGAGCTTTAGGTGGTGTTGTTGACTGAGGTAGAGAAGATTGAGGAGGGCACGGGATTTTAGAAGAGTGTTGTGTATGTCCATTTGGAGGAACTTAGGAGGTATAGAAACAGAACTTTACTCCTGCAGCTAGAGGAGAGTAGCAATAAGCAGAGGGTGTCTGAGGACTGAGGACTGGGCACATCAGCGTATGGAAGATATTGTGGGAAGGAGCAACCACATATCCCAGAGGATCTTAGAGGAAGCTGGCTAGAAGTGCTTTAGGCTTGTGGGAGCACATGTTGGGGACAGATATGCCAGCCCAAAGGCTAGAAAAAGGCTGGAATGTGGCCTATAGACAAATAGTACAGGGTCTCTCAGAGCTGCAGTACTCAGAACCCCATGGTCTATGACTTTTCATTTGAAACTAAACTAAAAAATCATTTAAGATAACTTGACATTTACAAGTGTCCTTGCTTTTATTTTCTTCTAGAAAAACCTTTTGTTGCTTTTGATAGCAGTATGGAATCTTTGGTGGAAGCCACAGTGGGAGATCGTGTCAGAATCCCTGTGAAGTACCTCAGCTACCCGACCCCAGAAATCAAATGGTAACTATGACAAGTAAAAAGAAAGCGTTGTCACATGAGAACAAGTCCTTTGGTTACATTGATTCTTGGGATTTTCCCCTAGGTATAAAAATGGAAGACCTATTGAGTCCAATTACACAATTAAAGTGGGCCATGTACTGACAATTATGGAAGTGAGTGAAAAAGACACAGGAAATTACACTATCATCCTTACCAATCCCATCTCAAAGGAGAAGCAGAGCCACGTGGTATCTCTGGTTGTGAATGGTGAGTCCATTCATTTTTCCCCTCTGCCCTAGATTTATTAAGAATAGTATGATTAAGTCTTCTTAATCTGCCAGGCTATCATTCCTTTGCCTCCTGCTGCCTCACCCACATAGTGACTGGACCAACTCATAAAAACGAAAAAATGATGCAAGGAGGCGGAGTTGAAATGAGATGTGGGCAGTGTTGTGGCCATGTTTCCTTAAGAAGGCTTGTAAATGAATTGTTTGATGGTCAAATGTCACAAAGTAGATGGCACTTGATGACTAATACCTGGCAGGAATAATGCCTGCTGGATTAGTTGCCAAGCCTAGGGTGCTATCCCTTTGCTTCTGTTGCATGGAATTGCACACCTGCTATGCAGATGTGGGAGACTCTTCTTGCATGTGTGAGAAGCTTTAATTCGATGTTGTGGTATCAACAGCTAGGGATTCCTAGGTAGATCCCAACTCAGAAGGCCTTTGCAGGTTGACACTGTTGTGTTGCTTGGAGTCTAGGAACTGCCTCTGAATCTGTAAAGGAAAGACAGTAATTTTTGATTTAAGGATCAGTTGAACCTTGTTTTCCCAAAGTGAAAGATATAAGTATTTGGCATGGGGGAAGAAGAGTTCCATGGTCAAGGGAGTTTCTTTATTGCAGGACTTCTCAAGGCCTTTACTCTAATGAATATTGTCATTCTCCAGGAAAGACAGAGTATTCAGAGTTTTAGCAAATTTATCTGATCAGAGAACCTTTTCTTCTGAGTAAATCCATTAATATCTTGCTACAAACACAGTTTGAAAAATGCTTCTCTGTTTAAATTCTTTGTGCTCCCTACTGGCAGGGACATTAAAACTTCAAGATATTGTCTTATGACATTAAGCTGTTCCCCACATGTCCTGATACTCCTCTGTACGTCTGCTGGGCTTGGCTTCATTTCTTTCTTCAGGGAGTTTTTTAAAGATAACAGGTTCTGGAAGGGTTGCTTAAAAGCAGCGTGGGTGTAGGAGTTGGGGAAGAAAATGGAAATCTAATAAGTAGGATGGAAGAAGGAAATGATGAAGCAACAAAGACAGAAAAACGGACTGCGAGTAACCCCATTTCATCAATTCATAAAGCCACCAAACATCTAATTCACCCTAGCGTTTGCCCTGCTGTATGAAATAAGAGCAAGGGAGAAGTCGAGTTTTGAAAGTATAAAGGAATGTAGATCTTTGTAGAATATGTCCGTGTGGCCATCAGCCTTGGTATTCATAGTTTTTCTCTCTCTCTCTTTCTGAGAAAGGCTTTAGGTTGACAGTGGTAAGGTAGTAGTTTTGTGTTAATGACTTTGGGACCAAAAGAGAAAAGAGAGAAAGGAAAGAGGGAGGAAAGAAAGAGGAAAGGAAGGAGGGAGCAAGGAGTAAAGGAGGAGACAGAGAGAGGGAGAGGAAGACAGTGAGCGAGAGCATTCTGTAAGGACTCACACCTTCCTTTACAATGCAGTGGTTAAGTAGTGCTTGGGTTCAGAAGTTAGAGTATCTGGGGTTGTCCTAGGTTATGCCACATATTAGGTGCCCTTTAACTTTTCTGTTTTATTTTTCTCACGTGTAAAATGGGAGACAGTAACAATGGTTATGAGGATTAAATGGATTAATCCATATAAACCACTTAGAACAATGCTTGGCATACAATAAATGTATTTACTATGTTGTTCCAACTCTTTTCGTTCTGTAGCTTCACCCCTTTCTTGTGAGGTTGGAGGACAGGGAGAATGACCTCTGTGATGCAGATCAGAAAGATTGAGGCGGGGAGGGGGAGGGGTGTGAGGCTTGCATAAAGTCACCCAGCTTAAATTTTTTTTAATTACTGTTAGCTTGTTGTTATTATGAGTACCACTAGGACTCATCTCTCCAAAAGTCAGCTGTGGTTGCAGAAATCCACAAGGATGATGGACAATTCAGAAGTTGTGTTTCCTCTTTCCAGTGCCACCCCAGATTGGCGAGAAAGCTCTGATTTCCCCCATGGATTCTTATCAGTATGGTACCACACAAACTCTGACATGCACGGTCTATGCCAGCCCTCCTCCACATCACATCTACTGGTATTGGCAGCTAGAGAAAGAGTGCTCCTACAAGGCCAGGTGAGGAAGCCCACATGCTCTTTTGTCCTGCTGCCATTTTGCTATACCATAACTCCACTCTAAACCAAAAAGGCCATAGAAAGTTAGTTTCAAGTGTTGTTCGGAATCCTCTTCTGTTTTCAGTTTTACCAGATGTCTTTACTTGGGGCATCCCAGTGTGTCATCTTCTAGCTCTCTTTTCTTGGGTTAGCCCTAGCCTGTCCTTCTCCAGAGACAAGCTATTCACTTAGTTTGCTAATTGCCAATCTTTGGGTTTTCTTCTTTTACCACTCAGCTAGAGACTACCACATTGCTCCTTATCAGTTAGAGGTCCATCTCTCAGAGGAAGTGCTGATGGATGGGAGGCAGTGATAAACCTAGCCCAGCACTCAAGAGTCTCAGGCCTGGCTTATCAAGTTCTAACACGAGTCCAGACATCCTTAGGGAAAACAACAACAACCACCACCAACCCACCACCACCCCAAGCAGTCCACTTCCTGTTGTTGTTTTTGAAATGGTCATTACTAGCTTCTTCCTCAGCTGCTGGCCATTTCCCACACAAAGGCCACAGTTCCCAAGAAATTACTTTAAGAAGCCCAGTGGCTTCTAAGTTTCCTTACCTTCCTTTGAACTAAATTAACTTGAATTGTCTTGTCGATCCAATTTATGAATGGAGGTTTGTTCCCAAAATAACTGCTTCCCTCCGGTATCCTGAATGAATCTACCTAGGACCTTTTCCCTCATTGCTGAGACCTATTTTTAATTGGCGCCAAGTCTTCTAAAATGGTAGGCAGCATTGGAAGTTATTTCTAAGAATGTAACAAACAAAGTCTGATCCTTTCCTTACTATTGATTTGAATTAAAGAAAAGTTAAGCTGGGTGCCGGTGGCTCACGCCTGTAATCCTAGCTACTCAGGAGGCAGAGATCAGGAGGATTGCAGTTCGAAGCCAGCCCAGGCAGATAGATTCTATCTCAAAAAAAACCCATCACAAAAAGGGGCTGGTAGAGTGGCTCAATGTGTAGGCCCTGGGTTTAAACTCCAGTACTGAAAAAGAAAAAAAAAGTTAAATCATAACATGATCTGTTATCTTCTCTCTTGAAGCCAAGCTGTCTTGACAACAAACTCATATACTTGTAAAGAATGGAGAAATGTGGAAGATTACCAGGGAGGAAATAAAGTTGAAGTTAACAAAAATCAATATGCCCTAATTGAAGGAAAAAACAAAGTGAGTGTGAAGTTCTTTCATTTGAATGTCTTTCCCAGTATTTTTGTCTTTAATGGAAGGATAGCACAGTAATATGTGAGGCATACTAGAGATTAATAATCAAATATACTAGATGATAAAATATTTGCACTTGAGTCAGTTTGAAAACACCATTGACTTTTAGCAGTACTGTTAGCTTATCAGTAGCCTATTGAAGAAAAATGAAAAATGTATGCATTTAATCTGTGCATTTGTTGTAAGGTGACTATAATTTTACAAGCATGAGAATGAGAAAATGTGTATAATGTTATATTAAATCACATCGTTAATCACGATTTCCAAAGCACTTCTTGTATGCAATGTGAGATACACACCAGCTCAATTATAACTGTAAATGTGAGGGGGTCCCTGTGGTAGTGTGAATGGAGTAGGCAGGGCATAGCAATTGGGGGACTGTTTGATTTTAATTTTGACTGAGTACCAATACCCAAACACAGTCTGCTTCTTTTTATGGCCTGGGATTTTTTTTTTTTTCAGACTGTAAGTACTCTTGTTATCCAAGCTGCAAATGTGTCAGCTTTGTACAAATGTGAAGCCATCAACAAAGCTGGGAGAAGAGAGTGGGTGATCCCCTTCCATGTGACCAGTGAGTACTCTTCTCTGGAGGGTTGACTGGATCCCTGACAAGTGGATACTAAGCTGTGAAGTTCTCTGCTGGCCTTGCCATTCATGCAAGTGGCAGGGCATGTAAGAAAAGGACTTGGATCGATCACTGATGATTTCGTTCATGAATTAAAACTGCTCATGTAGCTCTTGGGCTTACATGCAGTCAGTTCATGTGCCTTTGCTGGTGAGGGAATGGATAAGGTCTGAGTCATACTTATCTCTGTCCTGTTCTTCTGAGTCTAGCACAATGTGTGGCTTGCTGAGGTTCAATAAATGTCAGTCGGCTTGCTGAACAGTCGACTTGATGAGGTGGAGGTTTCTGGAAGCAATCAGAATGACATAGGAACAATGCCTTCCAATGTTGCTGATTTTACCTATGTGTCTTAGTTTTATGAATAAATTTTACCTGACTGTATTGGGTAAAATATTTGGTTCTGGGTTAATTCACTGTAATAAATATAGTGTTAATACCATTGAGTGTTATATGTTAATGAGAAATTGATTTTTAAAAAATTCCTTTATGATTAAGACCCTGATTTGGATTTTTCTGTTTTAATCTCAAATTAGAGATGTGGTAGATATCTGGCAATTAATTTATATTTTCAGATGATATGCTTGGGGATCTGAATCATTCAATTTGGCTGTCTCCTTGTAGTGAATGATTTGGGGCTGTTAGAATTTCTCTTTCTACTTCTTAGCACTCTGAAGGCAAAAAGAAGATGATCGTTTCCTGAACCATGTGAAATTGCCATCCTCTAACTGTGGGCTTTACATTTCAGCGGGTCATGAAATTACTTTGCAACCTGCCACACAGCCAACCGAGCAGGAAAGTGTGTCTCTGAGGTGCATGGCAGATAGAAGTACATTTGAGAACCTTACGTGGTACAAGCTGGACCCACAAGCTCCATCAAGCCACAGGGGAGAGCTGCTCGCACCTGTTTGCAAGAACTTGAATGCTCTTTGGAGACTGAATGCCACCATGTTGTCCAATGGCACAAATGATATTTTGATCATGGAGTTCCAGAATGCATCCTTGCAGGATCAAGGAGACTATGTCTGCTCTGCTCAATACAGGAAAACCAAGAAAAGACATTGTGTGGTCAGGCAGCTCACCATCCTAGGTAAGGAGGCAGCTCTGGATCATGCAGGTGGAATACCATAAGTGTAGCATGTTCAGGTGCTGTAAGCTCATGAAGTAGGCTGGCAGAATGAGGCCAATACTGGTGAAGTGATATATTCAAAACAGAAACTAACATGGTTCTTTCCAACCTGTATGATGAGGTTACTCACTGGTATCTGTAAGGGGCTTAGCTTGAATCAGGGAACTTTCTGTCTTATTCTTGGACATTCATTGATTTGAATCTACACATTTGTGGAATACCTACTACGAGCAAAGAGAGTTTCGGAAGTTCACAGTGGTGACACAGTTGGACAAGATATCATAAGTACTTATTGACAGTGAGGTCTGTATGTCCATGAGGACAGGGAATGGTCTCTGTTTTGCTTCCTGCTATAGCTCTAAGTCATGGAACGTAGTGGCATTTGCTAGGTGCTCAGTGAGATACCTTCTAAATGAAAAGTGTGATTAAGGACTGAGCTTAGGGCATAGGATCACAGCTTGTGCCTGTGTGGTCCAGAGTAGCTCAAGGTCAATGGGATGATAACTTTGTGATCAGAAAACTGACGCATTGCTGTCTATGTCTTATCTGAATTTATGCCTTGCACCAAATCTGGGTAGCCACTGCTCTGTGGGGAAGTCAAATGAATTTGGGGAGTTTCTCTTTGTACCACTTTATTCCATTTTCCTTTCCTTTTAGTGTTCCTTCCAGGTGCCTATTATGCATGCATCCTCTACTTTGTCCTCTTAGGAGGGGAAACTGCCCAGGTGAACTTACCCATACCAAAGTTTTAGATGAATAGCGTTTCACTCAGGGCTTTGGCATATTTTAGGAAGCACCTGCAGATAAACACTTGCATAAGGTTTGATGCTTTAGAGACTCAGGTGACAGAAGAAGAGATATTTGGGGACCATGCCATCCCCAGGACCCTCGAGATCACATCACCTACATAACCACGTGTGATACTTGACATTGTCTGATTTCAAGCTAATGGAAGAATTTAGAAAGGGATATGAAGGAGGCTCTTGACTTTGCCATGTCCAGGAAATACGTGTCCACAGTTTGCTGGTTTGCTTCTCTAAGGACACCTAAGCTGTTTTCCTAAAATCTGTTCTTAGAAATAGACTAAGACTAGTACATCTGTTCAAATCCCTAAGTAGTACACTGTGGAGAAACTCTCACTTTGCTAAGTGTTGAAGTGGATTCTTTCAACATGAGTCCTTTTGATGTTCATTTGGTCTGGACATGATATTTCCATAGAATTTTGATGATTTACAGGAAAGGGTAAATCTAGTGTTTTGCTGTACATTTAAACAAATACCCACAGACTTCACGCTCTTTAAATCTTTGACATTCCTTAGGAGATTGTTGTTTTGTTGCCTTTGTGTTAGTGGAGATAGCACTGGACTTTTAGGCTTACCAGATTCTATTATTAGTTCAACTGTTTACTTAGTTATAAGGACTTTTGCACAAGTTGCTTAATCTCCATGAACTGCACTTACTTCATCTAAAAATAAGGTCAGTAGCCTTACCCACTCATTACATACAATTGATAGTAGCAGAAATAGTATAAGTGAGTTTTGTAGAAGGTACCACATAAATAGAAGGCATTCTTTACAGAATTACACTGATGTTTGGTCCTTCCCAAGAGAAAACATGGCAGACGAGTCTTATTGGCTAGGACTTTTAGATAGGATAGTTTCTTCTTGGGGAAAGCCATGTCTGGTTAGAAGAAAAATCCATAAAGGTGACCCTGAGCCGTTCCTTTGCAGTTTTTCAGCTAGGATCACTAATGTGAATGCTCAAAGATGTGTGACTGTCCTTGTTTAGTGGCCAGTGCTGCTGTAATCAGCTTCTGAGCATTTTCAGCGTAGTGAATCAATCCACAGGTTGCTGTTTAGTACGTTTAAACTGTTTCACAGTTTACTGATACTAAAGCCATTCTAATAATTATAACTGTCATTTCTGTGATTTTCTTTTTACCTGCATAGAACGCATGGCACCCGTGATCACAGGAAACCTAGAGAATAAGACAACGAGCATCGGAGAGACCATTGAAGTTGCCTGCACGGCGTCTGGGAACCCCCCTCCACAGATAACATGGTTTAAAGACAATGAAACGCTGGTAGAAGATTCAGGTGACTAGAACTTGCCCATCTCTTTGGTTGTAGAATTTTCTCAGGGGTGTTGTGCAAAACCCACATTATTTCTGGATTTGATTTTAAGGTAGACCAAAAGCACTGTGGGTGTACTTGCTCTTCTGGCTCTTTTCATAGAAGTACAAGTGGAGTACTTCGAGCTTTCTGAACTCTTATGGAGGCCTCATGGGAGATCAGTAAATAGTTGATCATACATGCTCTTCAGAGTTACGTAATAGCCCAAGGTGAAGAGCAGTGTTTATATTTTAAATTTTTTTCCTGAAAAACTCCACAGACCACATATTGGAAATAAGAATAACCACTTTCTCCCTCTTTTAGGCATTGTATTGAAAGATGGGAACCAAAACCTGACTATCCGCAGAGTGAGGAAGGAGGATGAAGGCCTCTATACCTGCCAGGCCTGCAATGTTCTGGGGTGTGTGAGAGTGGAGACATTTTTCATAATAGAAGGTCAGTATGACATCATAGACACCCTGGATGGTTTCTAAAGACTAGCTTGTGTCTTACACATACTCATACACTTTGGGTGGGATGACTAGTGGGTGATTTTTAAAGTTTTTTGTACAGCTGAGTATCTTTTTTCCAAAATGTTTGGAATCAGAAGTGTTTCAGATTTTGCATTTTTGTAAATTTTTGAATATTTGCACATGTATAGTAGGTATCTACTAGGGTGTTAAATCTAAACAAAAATTCATTTATATCTCATGTGAGCCTCATACACATAGCCTAAAAGTAATTTTATTTTTAGTGTGCCTACATTTGCCTGCAAGCCATTACATGAGGTCAGGTGTGGAATTTTCCACTTGTGGCATTGTGTCAATGCTCAAAAAGTTTCAGATTTTGATCATTTTGGATTTTGGATTTTTGGATTTGGGATGTTCTATCTGTACTTTGTAAATTTTCTCTAATAAGTATAAAGTCTTTTAACCAGACAGTATAACATGTTGTTTTAATTCTGCTTGTATCTCATTTCCTACATGTGCAATTTGCATTGTGGAAAAATTCTTAGCCAGGCAGGACAAATACCCTCCTGTCTTAGATTCTGTCTTGGTTTGAATGGCCTGATTAACCTGTAGAGATGATGTTTCAGTATTTATTTGGAATTGCTGCCTAATCATGAAGGTCAGTGATACCCAGTTAGTCACAAAGGTTCAGAATTTTCACTGGACTAGAGATAATTAATATTCACTTGTAAACAATACCCCATTGCTTTTCTGTAATGGAAAACTTTAGGTTTCTATATAAATATGAAAGGACGTGTGTGTGTGTGTGTGTGTGTGTGTGTGTGTATGTGCACGCAGGAATGATGTGGCATTTTCTTGGATAGAAGTAATTTGTGACAGACCATTTTACCTGAAGAAGTATATTTCTGTGTCTTTTTTTGTAACCCATCAGGAGAACAATGACACTGAATCTTGTGGGTGATGGGATGAATGCAAGGGGAAGAAAGAGGAAGGTGATATAAAGGGTGGAGTTGATGGAGTTCTATGAACTCTTCTTAACTTACCTCTCAAACACTAGAAGTTGGTCTCTTCAATGTGTCAAATCTATGTTGTTGAGTATTACATGTAGACACATTGACATGTTTTTAATCTATAGGTTTGTTATTATTATTTCATATACTGCAGTTGCAGTTTATCAAAGAACATGGTGGTTTTATCATTTACAAAGGGATTCATGTCCTAGGTGAAGCCTAGGGAGGATTTTTGGATCCTCTCTGCTGCTGTGCCTCCCTCCCTCAGCTGTCTGCAGCTAGTTATGCCAGTGCCTAACAGGGCCATTGGCACAGAGATTACAGGGACTTCTTACCTGCAAAAGGTAGCAAGAAAGGGAGATGTAGACATTTACATATTCCAGGCTCCCAAATGTTCATATGGGAATATTAATGTACAAAATTGTATAGACAATTGAATCTTAGTACAATGGATTTTTAAATTCCGACTTATAGATAGAGAATTACTTCCCGTGACCCAGCAGAGAAATAAAATCTACTTTAGACATGACTTGGAGCTTGTCTTCCAACTGTTAGCTCTAATTTTGCCAACTAATTAATTGCTTGTCTTCTGCCTTCTTAAAGTTACTGTGGCTATTCTCACAGCTTGTGGCCTGAGTTGATTCATGCTGCACAGTGTGATGGAGAGATGCGAGACACTAAGTGATAATTGCTTCCTCATCACCCCTGTGCTAATTAGTAATCACTCGGGGTTGAAAGCTTTTCGTTTCCCCACCTGGAGGTGTCCACTGGAGCCTTGAGAGTCTTCAACTTTCCTTGCCCACCTTGAGTTTTTCCTTTTCTCTTTCATATGTGATTTTCAACTCCCGGTACTGGACCATGTATGAAGTACTCCTCTCATTTTTCACTGTTGCTCACTCAGGTTCCTGCCACACACAGGCAGTGTGTGTTAGACACACCTTATGTCTAACCCTTGTTGGGTACATTGACTGTCTGGGTGCCCCAGTCCAGTAGCTTAACCTCTCTGATCTATTTCTTTACCTGAAATCTGAAGGTTGTTGAGAAGGTAAGTCAGATGACATATTTAAAGCAATGAGTATCTAATAGGTATGTGATCAAAAGTAGCTCTCTGGACAGTGGGCTTCCATTTTATTTCCTTTTGTAGTTTCTCAACCAATCCTTTTTCAAACCCCACACAGATCAAGACATTGACTATCAGCATAAGTATAGCCAGGCTTTATTTATCGCAAATAGGAATACTTTTCTTCCCTATAGAACATCGTGTTTTCTTTCCATGCTTTCTTTCCAAACACGTTCTATGTGTGTCTTTTAAGACATTCATGTATCTGTTCTAATTACTTCAGAATTTTATTGCTGGTAGTTTGTCTGAGCAATGTTTTGCAAGCTTTAAGTTTTCCATGAAGGATGCTGTGAACGCCATTCACCTTAAGGGTGTGGCCTATCAGTCTTTAAGGTTCTTCACAGTAGGTAAAAGCCTTGCCTTTTACGTGCTCTTTGTCATCTTATATCAAAGGCTATGAGATTCCACCTCTCCATGCACTCTCACTTGTGTCCTCCAGGTGCCCAGGAAAAGACCAACTTGGAAGTCATTATTCTGGTAGGCACTGCAGTGATTGCCATGTTCTTCTGGCTGCTGCTTGTCATCGTTCTACGGACCGTTAAGCGGGTAACAAAATAATGTTCCTTCTGTCTCTTGCATGTTGGTTTTCATGATTAATGAAAGATGACTGAGGTCCTTTGAGTTGTTTCTTCTAATTGTTATTGGCTGAATGGGCACATTTTTATTTCAACACAATAACATTCTTGCCCATTTTCTTTGGCTGGACCGTGGGGCATTAATTGGTAGAAGCCACTAGAGGGGAAAAAGGGTTAGACTGTTTAGTGTAATTAAGATTTTTTAAATTCTGTACTTACTTGGGGGCAAGGGGACACTGGGAGCTGGATTATAATAGGATCACTCTCAAACTCTGTGAGCTTTATTAGAAAATGAGATGTCAGGAATGAGGTTTTTATGAACAACATTAATAAATACACAAAACAACAGCCAAACAACAGGGTGTGTGTGACTGGAAGGATTGATGCTTTCCAGGCCAATGGAGGGGAGCTGAAGACAGGCTACTTGTCCATTGTCATGGATCCAGATGAACTGCCCTTGGACGAGCATTGTGAACGCTTGCCGTATGATGCCAGCAAATGGGAATTCCCCAGAGACCGGCTGAAACTAGGTGTGTTTTCAATTGATATGAATTCCATGTTGGGTTTACCAGGCCAACTCTTCCTCCTCTAGGATGATGATAAGTGTGGTCCAGTCAGATGTTGTATTCTGGTTCAGAAGTAGTAATTCTGTCTCTTCAATCTGGGTAATCACCCACTTAGCCTCTTAGAAGTAGGATTCTTGAATGATCACCCAGAACAGGACATTTGAAGAGTGAAGGGGAGTTGTTAAATTATGAAAGCAGGACAAGGGGGTGGATTATCATGTTAAACTGAGATATAAGGTTGCCCTAGCCAGTTGGAATCATTGCATATCACTTTGGTGGTGTGATAATCCATGTCCATTTTGTTGTCATTATTGTCAATTCTAGGTAAACCTCTTGGCCGGGGTGCCTTTGGCCAAGTGATAGAGGCAGATGCCTTTGGAATTGACAAGACAGCAACTTGCAAGACAGTGGCCGTCAAAATGTTGAAAGGTATATTCAAAATTATACAGTGGTGTCTCTTCCTTTGTTTCCTCTGACCATTAAACATGGTGTAAAGCTTGTATCAGTGGCTCTGTGCTTAGGAGGGCCAGCCAGTCAAGCATGCAGCTCACCTATATTTGCCTCTTTGCAAATCAGTGAAAGATTTCCTCCTTTGCAGCCTCATGCCACTGTGCATGGTCTGGCCAGCAAAGTTGGGGATGAATCTCACCTACCTTGCGTAGGAGTCCTGTGCAGGGTTCAGCTTGTGCAATTATATTTAGTGGTCCTGGTTATAGGAAAAAAAGTATCTGGTTATACTAAAATTGTGTCTTAATATATTATGTGTAAGAAAATTATAGACCTTATAGAAGCATGGAAAGGAATCAGATATAAGTACTGTATAATAGAACTAAAAAATATCATGTTATCTACAATTGGAATATGTAGAAGAACTTCACATACAAAAAATATTTTGGAAGAAAAGATTGGGTACACTAAGAATAAGGGATTATAAGTTATTCTTTTAAAAATTAAAAGCTTCATAGTAATTGTAATCCTAATAGTAAAGGAATCTGGTCTTCCATTTCAATATGGAGAGGTGATGCACATAAAGTCTTGGCTCCAGTCATGATGTGCTTTCATTGGTGGAGACAATGGGACTTGCCCTTTGCCAATAGGTCTTGTGTATTTCACAGCCATTGCTCTCCTTTTGCCGTTTCTTTCTAGTGACCAAGGGGGTATATAATTTTGAGGTGGCTCATCAGACCCCAAGGTGGGGACTGAGCCTGTGAGGTAGAGGGAAATGCAGCAGTCCACCCAGGACCAGGTGCATTCTCAGCTCCCTAGCCTTTCATGCCAGCTGATCTTGCTGATAGCTGTTAAGTTGCCTGCGTGGCACACATTGTTTGTAATGTCAATATACTCATGAGGATATTTAATACATGGCATTGCTAAAATGATCAGGCCCTATGAAGCATAGTAAACCTGAAATATAAAACTCCAGGTTTGTACAAGAAGAGAATCTGGGGATGATTCATTGCAGATATGGTCTCTACTTTGTAGAAGACTTGACAGTGAGCTGAGTGTGGTGGTGCATGCCTGTAATCCCAGAACTTGGGAGAGTGAGGCAGGACCATCACTAGTTAGTAGCCAGCCTGGCTATAGGGAGACCTTGTCTTAAAAAACTGAAAAATAAAAGAATTCACAATGAATGTATTCAAATGTCAAACATTCTAGGTTCATTAATGAGTTTGATGTAGAATTTGAAAATAGATTTTGCACTTGATTTTTCAGAAAATGCACCTGACCTGCAAATTAGGTGACATTTATATTGCAGTGGAAGATTAGTTGTGCAGTTGCACACAGTGGCTAGAGGGGCCTCAGTTGTACTAAGGTCATACCCATATTTATGATTTTCCTCTGTACCCTGAATTTTAGAAGGCGCAACACACAGTGAACACCGAGCCCTCATGTCTGAACTCAAGATCCTCATTCATATTGGTCACCATCTCAATGTGGTCAACCTTCTAGGTGCTTGTACCAAGCCAGGAGGTGAGTACCTGTGGGTGGTTCTGATGGCCTGATTTTGATGCATGCTTCTCTGCTAGCATCTGTGGGAAACAGTGCAGCTCCCATGGCTGTGACTTCCTTAGCTTAGACTACTTTGCAGATTCCTAGATATACAGCTATTTCATGTTTTAATATCATTTATTTAATAGGCACTATAATTAAGTTATTTTAAAGTTCCCTGTGAATTAAGGAATGTCACATCACTATGGTACAACTTGTTACTTATGTAATAAATGTTCACATGAGAAAAATAAACTTTCCTACAAACTTGAAAGCAAAAGTCCTTAAGAGTTTCACTTGGGTAGGGCATAGTGGTTCATGTCTGTAATCCTAGCTACTCAGGAGGCAGAGGTAGGAGAATCACATTCTAAAGCCCATGAGCCTAAGTGCAATATTATATCTAAAAACAAATTAAAATAAAAAGGATGGGGAAATAGCTGAAGTGCTAAACTGCTTGTCTAGCAAGCATGAGGCCCTGAGTTTAAACTCCATTACCACCAGAACAGAGAGAGAGAAGAAAGAAAGAAAGACAGACAGAAAGAAAGAAAGAAAAGAGAAAGAAAAAGACTATCCTTAGGTGATTGCATTGAAATGCAAGTGGCTAGGTTTTCTTCTGACATTTTGGTTAATCTCATGGAATTGCCTTTTGGAAAAAGAACAGCTACAATATAAAAGGTTTGAGATCAACTGATTTTTACAATCCTATTCCAACAGGTTACAGGTAGCTGTCTTCTCAGAGACTTAGGAGTTTATCAGTATATTAAGCACTTAGTGAGAAACACAAAGGATACATGTTTTCTGTTCTTGACATGCTGTGCTGTCTGCAGGACCTCTCATGGTGATTGTGGAGTTCTGCAAGTTCGGAAACCTGTCAACTTACTTACGGGGCAAAAGGAATGAATTTATTCCCTACAAGGTATGCCCTTCCTAACTCAGCTTTGTCTGTGTTGTGAAGTGGAGGAAAATGCAAAGTGGTCTGCATTCGTGTTTTACTTGCAATGCTGTGAGGAATGTTCTCACATCAGCTCTTGTTGTTTTACCTTCTGGGTTTTATTCTTGTGATTCTAATCTCTTGCCCTATTATAAACGGTGCCAGAGTTGGAAAGAAGGTAGAAAAGACAAGGGAAAGAGTAAGGGCAGGGAAAGAATAGCCAGGATTATACTTGCTCCTCTGGCTGTATTTGTCTCCATGGTGGGAGTGTGTGTTCCTCTGTACAGGACACGTTAATGGAAGAATATCTGAGTGCATCATAAAATGAGGCATTTATCACTTTAAGCTAAAGAAGGAGCTTGGATTTATGGTAAAAATATTATTACATATTAATCTTGCTCCCAACTTCAGCCCAGAGACTGTAAAAATCCTGAAATGGCTATCTTTCTTGTCTGCTTTCTAATAGTCTAATGGTCTCTGCAGTCTACTACATTTTGGAGACCTTTTGTGTGCGACAGATTTGTTCATTTGCTTCTTTATAGACCAAAGGGGCACGGTTCCGTCAAGGGAAAGACTATGTTGGGGAAATCTCTGTGGACCTCAAACGCCGCTTGGACAGTATCACCAGCAGCCAGAGCTCAGCCAGCTCTGGGTTTGTGGAGGAGAAATCCCTAAGCGATGTGGAGGAAGAAGAAGGTACCTGCCATTTCTGCCTCTGTGCCTAGTGAATGCATTCATAGGAATGGGAAAGGTGGCAAGTGCAACAAGGATTTGATCATGGGAAAAACTTATGGTTGAAGGAGATCAGAATTCCTGGGCAGCTACTAGTCAGTCTCCCCAGAAGTGAAGTGTGACAGCCCTAAGTAATAGTGGGCTAGGATGGGAAGCAAGGCAGGGCTGTCCTGAGAAATCTAGGTAGTCCAGTGGGCAGAGCAGTGGTTAACAGTCAAGCCAATATTCTTCAAATACTGGCCCAGCATTTATGGGCAGGGGAAGGTCAAGTCTGTGTTCTGGAAAGGAACAGGGCTGCCTGGTGCTTGGTTAGCCTCCCTTTGTCCTAACTGGTTTATTCTTGCGCTGAGTACTTCACCAGCATAACAGGACTCATACAGTTCCTTCGCCAACTTCCCCTGAAGCAGATTAGGGGCCATCTATTGTCTCTACTCCACACCACGTGGCCTTTCCCATCTTCCCTCCAGTCATCCTTCCTCACTGGAATCTTGGTGAATATATTTGTCTTATTCAGTTGTGTTTTAGTGCTATTTTAGTGCTCTTTAGGGTAGGGCTATGCCCTGAGCCTGACTCCTAGGACTTCATTCAGCTCCAGGATGCCCTGTACGTCTGCCTTCCTCAGAATGAGCAGAAACAGCTCCATGGATATAATGATGGGGCTTCCTGACATCTGGAGGTGTGAGTTTAGAAGAATCCAATCATGAAACAGTGGAAGAAACCCAATTCCTATTTCCCTCATGCGAGTGTACAGGTAGAACTTAAATCTGACTTCTTTCCCTTAGAAGCTGAGATAGCAGTGTGAGGGTGAAACCAGGTCTATAAGAGCATGGGGAGGTTGTCTCAGCCTCATGTAATAGGGCTCATAACCCAGGGGAGCTGTCCTGCCCAGCTCCTTCTCTCACATAAAATGGTGACCAGTGAGTTGGAAACCCAAGGGATTGAGATGCTATATTAGAGTAGAAATGGATTGGAATCATTAGACTGGAATTTTGTCTCCATTTTTCATTTGTAAAATGAAGAAGATTTCACTAATTATTCCCAAAGAGCCTTGTAGCCCTAAGTATAAGAAATCATTGAGTAAAAGTCTTGTGGACTTTTTAATGCTCATAGCGTTATTATTATAACTAAGTTTGTGTTTATTCTGGTATTTGTGTCCAGAAAAGAGGCCATGTATCTTACCTTATCTGACCAAAGTTAGGAGACCATTTTTGAAACACCCATGAATATCTTAGCATTTGTTTGTAACAGTTGCACTGAAATAAATACTACTCATTTACATAAATTCATCTTTCTCTCATGTTCCTGTTATCTCTCATTCATATTGTTGGAGAAAAAAAGCATCCTCACAGGCCGGATTTAATGTATTTAGAGCATTGTTTAAGTCTGAAAGTGAGAGAAATAAATCCCTTTCTGGTATTTTTAGTTATCTGTTTGACCTTTGGTCTTTGTCCCAGGACAAAGCCTGGAGAGAGAAGATTTGATGACCCTGAATATTGTTTTATTTTTAGAGTTCTTGATATGAAACTATTGTTTATCCCTCTGGGTACATGACAAAAAAAAAAAAAAAACAAACAAACAAACCCGCAGCAACAGCTTAAAACAGCAAATTTGGAAAAGTCCTCTTTCTCTCTCTGCTGTCAATTGCTAATTTTACCTCTATTCTCTCTCCTGACTTACTGGTTCAATTTGACTAAAATGGAAGAGCCAGTGTTTCTCCTAAGAGGTCTGGTGAAGGCTAATAATACTGGGGGTCAGCAAGTCAACAGAAGATTGAGGCATCTTCTCTCTGCTTCTCGTTCCTGAAATTCACCTTCCATGTCTTAAGATCATTAACTCTAGCAGACTTAGAAGCAAAGTGTACCGACTGGAGGGAATGCTCATTCCTGTCCTCCTACCTCTTCTGACAGCTTCTGAAGACCTGTACAAGGACTTCCTGACCTTGGAGCATCTCATCTGTTACAGCTTCCAGGTGGCTAAGGGCATGGAGTTCTTGGCCTCACGGAAGGTAAGACAGATCAAGAGGAAGTAAGTGCTCTTTTGAGATCACAGGTGTGCTAATACGATGTCTAGCAACAGCCTTTGGTAGTTGTTTGAGATGGAAATCCCCCCATCACTTCTAGGATTCTTGAAAGAGCTCTACTGGGAAGGCTCTGTTTCTGCTGATGAAGGGTGGTTAGGGATTTCATGAAATTAATTTTTATAATAAATACTTACCTAGCAGTTCCTAAGTCCTAGTACTTTTCTAAGCACTACTGTGGTGAACCAACAAGCAAAGCTGTCTACTTTGTGGAGTTTACATTCTGATGGATGACACAGATGATAAACAATATAAACCAAGTAACATACATAGCAGATTAGATGGGAGTATATGTTGGTGGGATAATAAAGCAGGAAGGGCTTGTAGTGTATACGGAAGGGTATGTTTGTTCGTGTACTCCTCCGTGTGTGTGCGCTTCAGTTTTAAACAAGGTGAACAAGGAAAGCTTTACGAAGAATGTGACATTTGAGCAATGACCTACAAGAGGTGAGGGACTGGACTTTGTAGACATCTTGGTGCAGGAGAGTCTATTTTTAACTTATTTTACATTCATCACCATCCATCAAAAAGTATTTATTAGTAGTATAATTAGAAACCAGGAAGGACAGGCTTCAGATGAGAGTGATTAAAAGAGCTAAAAGTAGAAAGTAGGCCAAACAAAGGCTGAGGTGGGGACGTGACAAGTTACAAATATTTCAAAGGTTGTAAACACCACAAGATGGGGAGGGAGGATGGTGGAAGCCACCACCAATTCTGGAAAGGGTAAGATACATAATTTTATATTAAACAAGAAAATCAAATTGATGTTTAGGAAAAGCTGTCTGTTGACAAAATGTTTTTGGAGCAGCCTACTAGGAAAAGAAAGACTTAAGTGTTTTTTTCCTAAATAAATTACAGTGAAATCCCTAAATTATCTCCCTCCCATTGAAGTTTAAAGCTTCTCATGCCATTCAGAGTCTTGGGATCTTAGGTGTTTCTATTGGATAGCTCTAGTGTTCACTCAAGAGGAAAGGCTTTTCCTCAAAAAGAAAGGCCTTTTGCATTTTCATAGATTACGATTTGTTATTAGTTTAAGGCCAGAATTCACCATCAAGTCAGGGTTCCTTTTGGTAACTAGGAAAGGAATGGTGTGGTGGGTGGAAGGTGAGAATTGAGAATCCTGTAATTTTACTTGTGTCTACCAGGTGATTTCTCAACTGTCACCCACCGTTAGGCTAAAAAAGGAGTCCCTTTGGTTGGGAGAAAGTAGGAAGTAATGTATGTTTTTGGAATCCTCAGTTTGAGTCAGTCATTCTCCCCCTTTGGGGGAGAGTGCTCTGCAGACCTCTGGTTCTGGAAGTGGTGGAGTCAGTAAGGTCATTCCCCATGATCACTCCTACACTGACTCAAGGTTGTCACCCAAACCTTTCATTAATTTTTAATGTTCCTAGGGACTCTTAGTCTCTCACAAATTTATCCTGTGATGCTTAGCTGGGCCTCGTTACAGTAATTATGATAGCTGCTGAGTAGAAGGAAGTCAGATGAAGTTAGAGGATAGGGAGAAAGGAGAACTTAGGGAGCTGGAGAGAGCAGAAGGTTTAAAGCCAGGGTGAGTTCCACTTTATTTTTCAGTGCACTAGAGAATGAACTTGACATGTGCCAGGCTGACATTGGCGTCATAGCCTTGATGGCAATATCTAACATTTTGAAAACAGGGTGAGCAGCATTGGGAATTGCCTGTTAGAGCCAGTTCATCTGTAGTTCCAAATGGACTAGACAAATCAACAAAGAGCACCAAACCAATGAGAGCCCCTTGTTTCTGATTTCCATGCATTCATTCAAAATAAATTTATTTAAGGATCTCCTTAAAAGAACACGTTTTTAACCATATATGGCACCAGGCAAAAGGGATGTGTATATGTGACCAGAAACACATTTTTAATTGTGTCCTAGGGAAGTCTATTTATGACTCCATCATCATACTATAACCCACTTATTTAACTCGAAATGCTGAGCTCTTTATGGAATAAGCAGATGTGTGTCTCTGCAAAGCTCGCAGGCTTTTTTCCTGAAGTGTTGATAAAAGATACTAACCCAGTCCTTGTTGATCAGTTGGTTTTCTGATGTGGGAGTTTTTTGAAGCATGAGGTCACAACAGATGGAAAAGAGATCAGCTGTGCAGAGGCCTAATGTACATTCGGTTCTTTCTGCAGTGCATCCACAGGGACCTGGCAGCAAGAAATATCCTCTTGGCGGAGAAGAACGTGGTTAAAATCTGTGACTTTGGCTTGGCCCGGGATATTTATAAAGACCCGGATTATGTCAGGAAAGGAGATGTAAGTTTTCAAGATGAACACTGTGAGCTCTTAAGTTGCAGAATTCAGACCTCTCATAGCAAGCTTTCATACCTGTGTTCAGGAACAAATGACTTTTTTTTTCCTTTGCTAATCTGGGTTCTCATTCCTTGTCTCTCACCATCGTAGGCCCGCCTGCCTTTGAAATGGATGGCCCCAGAGACAATTTTTGACAGAGTGTACACAATTCAGAGTGATGTGTGGTCTTTTGGTGTTTTGCTCTGGGAAATATTCTCCTTAGGTAAGTCACTTCTCTTTGTCTCTCTATCCAGACTCCAAATAGGATGACAAAAGTTGTTGACCCTAGTGTGTCTTTTCCTCTCCTGTCTTACACCTGAAACAAGTGGAATTGTAAAATGTAGAAGAAAACCAAAAAGATATATAGGTGATGAGGGTATGCAAGAATAAGGCTCAGGGCTTTTTATAAGGGAAAATCAAATCATATAATGTTCCTTTCTTATTTTATTCTAGGTGCTTCTCCATATCCTGGGGTAAAAATAGATGAAGAATTTTGTAGGCGACTGAAAGAAGGAACTAGAATGAGGGCCCCTGACTATACCACACCTGAAATGTAAGTCTTAAAAAGTTCTCTCTGTACTCTTTCTTTGCTCCCAAATTCTTTCTACCAAGAGAGCTTTCCATTATGTACACATCCTTCATGTTCTAGTTTGTGTCCTGCTTTTCCCTTGAAGTTCTTTGGTAACCTCAAGCCGCTGAGATCTTGAAACAGTCATTGATTCTTTAAACAATAGCACTTTGTCATCCATGTCTAATAGTTAGTTTTTATTAGATGCTCGCGTGTGTATGATATTTTCCTTTCTTTATGCACTTGGACCTCCGAGAGCAGGGCTCTGTGTCTTACATGGTTTTGTTTTTCTATTTAGCATCTGGATTCATGGTGGGTTCTTTACAAATGTCATCATTCAAGTGCCTCTTTTGAGCCTCAGACCTGGGGGGAAGGAGGTAGTTAATGACAACAGTGTTTTGCTTCTCTAGGTATCAGACCATGCTTGACTGCTGGCATGAGGATCCCAATCAGAGACCCATGTTTTCAGAGTTGGTGGAACATTTGGGAAATCTTCTACAAGCTAATGCTCAGCAGGTTTGTAAAACCCTGTCTGAGAAACTTCTGCAGAGAGTATTTAGTTGTTACTCTGAACCTCCTCACAGCTGCTGTGCTATCTTCTCAGTACCCGAGGAAGGAGCTGTGGTCTTCCAGATCTGAGCAATAATGCTTCCTAAAAGCTGTAGTCACCCTTTTAGATGGTGAGATCCTAATAAATAACATGGGAGCAGACTACACTTATTCCTGCCTACTGATCTTGTTTTAATATCTTCAAGTGTTCTAAAGTTAAAAAAAAATTGTAGTGATCAACAGAATATCAACAAAGTAAGGAGTTTTTAATAAATTCTGCAGGCAAAAATAAATAAATAAATCCAAACTATGCAGAATTGATTTCTTTTTTCCCCTCTTGATGGAATCCCAGGCCCTGATAACTTTCACTGGAGGATGTTAGAGTTGCTGGCTTTTACTGTTAGAAAAGTAGTTCAGAGGTTGACACCTCTTTTTATAATGGAAGCCAGTTTCCTCTTTCTTTCCTTTTGAACAGCTGGGGGACAATGGGCCAAATTTGTTTTCATCAATAAAACCTTCCCACATTTCCTTTCTCTCTTTCTCTTGAGAAATAATGTTAAACTGTGCAGCCTTTTCTCAGAAGACCCTTTCTCCTTCCCATTTATTGCTTTTCTTTAGACTGTTGTCTGTTTTTCCATTCTTGGAATGTCGAGGCTAAAACTAGGAAGCATGAAGTCCTGAGTTCAAGCTCCAGTACTGCCCCCCAAACAAAAAATATATACTTAAAAATAAATAAATAAATAAATAAATAAATAAGTAAATAAAATAGACTCCAGGCTCTTCAAATGGCCTGACTCATGCAGAAAGGGCTTATTGGAGAAATGACCTCTCAACTCTGAGTTCCATCCTTACCTCTGTGACCACAGCCCTGCTTTGTCTTCATGTGACCACAGTTCCCTGTGTCCTTTTTTTTGCTTAGCTCCTTTAACATGCCTTCGTACTCATATGCCTTCCATATGCCCTTTTGCCTCTGATAGAGCATTTCATCAGTGACTTGACCCACACTGAGCTAGGAAAGCAACACACTGGTAGCCAAGAAGCCCCCACAGCCTTTGTTTTCCATGGAAAGGCCCTTGAAGGACTGAAGCCATAACAATAGCACTCTGTGTTTATTGTTTCAGGATGGCAAAGACTACATTGTTCTTCCAATATCAGAGACTTTGAGCATGGAAGAGGATTCTGGACTCTCTCTGCCTACCTCACCTGTTTCCTGTATGGAGGAAGAGGAAGTGTGTGACCCCAAATTCCATTATGACAACACAGCAGGAATCAGGTACTGTATATGGCCAACATCCCCTTAAGGGGGCTTCAAGGTCAACTGGGGGGAAGGGGTGGAAGGAAGACATGTGGTGAGGCTGCTGTATTCCACTTCTGCATAACTCACTGAGCCTTGGCACTCATGAAAGGGGAGTGCACCCTGAAGAAGGTCAGGTAGGTGAGCTGCCTCCCATCTGTGACCCATGTTGCTGCCATACTCTGACTTTAAGAATTCTAAGCCCTGCAGCTGCAAATAACTGGAATGCCACAGTTAGTTAATCTCTAGAAAAAGAGAGCAATTTTACCAAGACATCTGTGTTAAAATGATCCTCATGTCCACTTTTATTAATGTGAATTAAATGGCTGAGGAGAGATTTAGGAAGAAGGTGCTGTGCTGACACTGCGGCTCTCTGGCAAGGACACAGAGGCCACGGGACAGTGTCCTGAATTAGACTGACACTGAATCTCAGAAGTGCCCCCAGTTTGATTTTCAGCATTTTCTTTGCATAATGGGACACGTGCAGCACAGTCCGGTCCTGATTTGTAAAGGGGTTCTACAGGAGGCTTTTTTTTTTTTCCCTCTCCCAGCACTGGGCATAAGGAAAAAGTTAATATGGTCTTCTACAATAGGATATTAAAATTGCCTTTCCTAAACCTCGGACTGTTTCACTTTGCTTTGGGTGTTGTCCTGGGCCCTGCAGTGTGGGCCCAGCCTGGCTTCCTGTTCTGGGTCCTGATAGTGAACCGGAAGTAAAGAGAGACTGGTTGTCACAACACAAGGGAGATGAGGAGGCATGGGGACAGTCTGCCCCATGAAATGGTGCAGATATGAGAGAGAAGAAAGCCAGCCAGGAGTGGTTAGGCACCAGTAATGAGCTGCTCATGCCATTTGTATCAAGAGCACTTTGGCATCTGTGGAAGAACTTTTCCATGGATTATCAGGTTCTGCCCACACGAGAACTCTAATGTTAAGGCAGAAGCTGTCATCTACTTTGTACATATGTATTGAATACCAGGCTCAGTTACCTGGGAGCCTTACAATATCGTGGTTAAGGGTGTAGCCACCAGAGTGAGATAGATGTGGGTGGGGACTCGCAGGTCTGCCTTTTAGCACCTGTGTGATGTGTTGCAAATCATCTAACCTCTCCCTCAGTTTCTGTAAAATGAGGCAAGGTCACTGGTGCTGTTTGCAAAGAGCTGTTTGGAGAACTGCATGAAGTGATGTATTTCTAAGTGCCTGGAGCTTCAAAGCACTTAATAAGGATAGTTACTAAGTGAGTTGCTTACAGTCACATCGCTGAGACGAACCTCACTCCTCTGATACCTAACACAGTGCTGTGTTCTCCTGTTCTAAGGAGTGGCCTTCAGGTAGAAAGAGTCATCAAATCCCACTTGTGCAGATTCCTAGTTCAAGATCATTGTTCCTACCACACTATATTGTGTCTTCTTAATCAGAAAGCCATTTGATGGTGAACTGTACTCCTTGTGTTCTGTGACCAAGTAGTCTTAGGACTCCAGTTGGAACCTTTTGGGGCACTGGGTCTTTTTCATATGGTGCAGAGAAGGAGATGAAGCCATGTTTGTGTAATGAAGGGTCTATGTGATGCTGGATCTAAGAAAGGACTGCAAACCTTTCTCCCAAGAAGCATGGTCAATGTGACACCATGCTCTCAGCACAGGTCTGGCTCTGATTTCCATCTGTGAGTTTGAATTGGTCTTTACAGTCTAGTTTCTCTTTTAGCCATTTATACATCAGAAAATAACATGGAAATTGGAATCTTTTGTCTGGATCCCCTCCCAACTATCTCAACCTTTTTTTCTTTTATAAAAATGAAACTCTTGATCATCTTGCAGTCATCTGGGTTTCAGAAAATGTAGCAATGCCTCGCTACTGTACTCGATACAGTGCCTGCTCCATGGTGGGGCCCTTGTGTGGTTCACCTTCTCTGGGAGAAAGCAAGGAGGCTGGGGTCCCTGTAAAAACTTTGTTCTAGCCTCTCTCACATTTCCAGCCAACTAGAAAAGCTGAGTCTCTCTCACTTGCTTCCTCCTTATAATTTTCAACTCCATTGCATTCTAAATAGACAGAGACAGTGCTCTGGGAGCCAACCTCATGATTTATTGCCCCTTTAAACTATTTTAAAAATATTTATTCAGAGAAGAGGCTGAGAAGTGTGGGGGGAAAAGGACCACTTGTGTCTAGACCTAGCGTTGCCTTTAATTTCCCCTGTGGGTCAGCTCTGGCCCCAAGTTTGCCTGCTTCCTGCAAGAAAACACATATTATGGGACATTTCTCTTCAAGGGCAGCTTGGGGGACCATCTGTGGTTGCTCTGTCTTTTCCTCTGGGAGTTTTGCCTCCCATACTAAACAGTTTATCAAGATTCCTTTGTAATTCTCTCCCAGAGAAAGGCTTTGGTACACACGGTTTTCTGCATCTTGGTTAGTTACTAGTGGTGGTTAATGCCCATGGTGGATGATGCCTAGTACAGCCCACTGGCTAGATGTTCCTGGACTTGGCTCTGATGTTACAGTGCTTGAAATAAGGCTGTCATTCCTCCATCTTTTGTCCTTTCCATACTCCACATTTTCCCCAGTCCCTGTCCACTACATGGTCAGTGCATACATGGGCTGGGAACAGTGCTATGCATGCAGTAGGTGAAAGTCTGCTGCTCCCTTCTTCCTTTTCCTTCTTGCCACTCTTCCAAAGGAGTCATTATGGGAAAAAGAAGCCCTAAATGAGCTTTGGAGTTTGCAAACCTAAACTTGAGTCCAGTTCTCCCTTTTATTAGCCAACCTCCCTCAAACTTGGCTTCCTCATCTCCAAATGGGAAATAATCAACAGGGCTATGTTGTAGTCTCGAGAGGAATAGAAGCAGCAATGTCAGTGGAAATGCTTTATCAACTGCGAAGGCCTATGCCACTTTCTAAGTTACTGGGCTCAAAATTCATTGTAGTCCCATTTAAGGTAGCTGCATTATTGCCCAAGCCCACTGACTCTGCTGGAATCTATATCCACATATCTCTGGAATCCACCCACTTCTCTAAACCCCATGATCTTTCTTTCATAAGTGTAGTATCTTACAAGTGATCTCACTGCCTCTGGTCTTAGCCTTCTCAATTCTGAATCTTCTCTTCTTTCTTTTCTTTCCCTCCCTCCCTTCCTCCCTCCCTCCCTTCTCTCTCTCTCACTTTCTCTCTCTCTCTCTCTCTTTCTTCTTTCCTTTTTAGTACTAGGGTTCAAGCTTGGGACCCTTGTGGTTTCTAGATAGGTGCCTCTACCACTTAAGCTGTACCCACAGCTCTTTTTTCTTTAGTTTGTTATTCAGATAGGGTCTTGTGTTTTTGTCAGGGGTCCACTTAAGACTTTGATCCTCCTACCTCTGTCTCCAGAGTAGCTCTGGGATTACAGATGTGTACCACTATGTCCAGATTGTTTTTTTGCAATAGGTCTTGCTAACTTTTTGCCTAGGCTGGCCTCAAACCACAATCCTCCTATCTCCATCTCTCTGGAAGCTGGGACTACAGACATGAGACACTGTGCTTGGCCCCAGAATCAATTTTCAAAAGGGCGTATCTGACCTTGTCAATCTCATGTCTAAAACTTCTATTCCTGAATTGTCTCATCTGAAAGTTGGCGTGATAATACTGTCCCCCTGTGCCACACACAGAAGGGCCATTGTGAAGGTGTCATGAGATGAGGGTTGAAGAGCCTCAGCACAGTGCCTGGCACACAGTAGATTGTCAAGAAGGCTTCCTGAATGACTGAAGGAGCGTGTGACTATGACATGGGTGATTTATGACAACCACTACTTTTAGGGACTGGATTTAGAAGAAAATGGGCTTTGCTTGCTCCCTGAATTTCATTTGCACCCTCTTTTTTTGTGGAGTTTCCCGAGCGAGGATGTCACAGATAAACCTCATTCTCACCTCTGTACAGGGAGGAACTAGCCCTTTGGGGAAGGGAAGAGACACTCAGGTTTCATTCTTCTCCTTTGGCCTGGAATCTGTGCAACATGTTTCAGAAGGCTGCTTGTGATAGAAAGTAGACTGGAATAAGAGGGAAGAATGTGTTTGTTCTCCCTGTCCCTTATCTCTGCTTGGGCTGTGAGAGGTTTTGATAGGGTTGCTGGGTCTCATTCAAAGCCAGGTAGCAGGGAAGGAAGAGGTGACCAGTTATCCAGTTGTCTGACAAGTCTCATTATTTGGATCCCTGAAGGAAATTGGCACTCTTTGCAATTCAGAAGAGGAAAACAAGCTTTGATGGATAGAGCCTTAAACTTCCTAAGAACACCAAGCTCAGCATTTGCCATGTTACTCGTCCTCCCCAAAGCCTCACAAGATAAGAGGGATAGCTGTTCCAGTACCTTTTTAAATTTTATATTAATATTTATTAATTGTACAAAGTGAAGGGTTTGTTGTGATATTTCCATTTATGCATATAATGTAATTTGATCATAGAAGCCAGTACATTTCTTAAAGGGGGCATCAGAGGTTCAGAAGCGTTCATGACTTTCTCAAGTTTGGGTAGTCTATGATAGACGCAGGAATACACAAACTATTTTGAGACTCTCAAGCCACTGCCTTTTCATGATAGACAGCTATATGGGCTAAAAGATAGGGGCTAGTGAGACTCACTTCACCTTGCCTTCTGTGCACTAGACCTGTATGACATGTTGAAGGAAGAGGCTGTCCTCACATCACTGCTTGCTCTGTGTTCTTTTGGGAGACCTACAGGTGTTTCTTCTGCCCAGGATGTTCTGTGAGCATTATCCAGACCAGACCAACTTTCTTTGAAGATGGCTGAAAGCTGTGAATGCCTTAGTGATGTATCCAGAGCTCCATGTAGGAATTGCACACAGTCAGGAGGCCAAGCAGAAGGCAGTGGATTGCCCAGCCTGCTGTTATTGTCCTTAGTCCAGCCCTGGCCCTCAGATGCATGATTCAAAGGAATAGGGCCTCCTTAGTTATATTATACTTTTAAATGGACTTTCACAGGAAATTAAGCCTTCAGTGTGTGCTAGCGAAGGAAGATTTTTTTCAATTTTGTTTTTCTTTTTCCAAAGGATGTTTTGAAGGTTGCTATTAAACTTGTGGTTGAAAGATAATGAACTTAGGTATCACTTGTGGTATCTGCCGCCAAATATACCACCACTCAAATATAAATATTTGTTCTTTTGCAGTCAGTATCTGCAGAACAGTAAGCGAAAGAGCCGGCCAGTGAGTGTAAAAACATTTGACGATATCCCATTGGAAGAACCAGAAGTCAAAGTAATCCCAGATGTAAGTACATCTTTTAAAAATAGTCTTAGAAATAATACCAAGGATGAAACACTAGCTGGATAAATATTAGCCTAAGCATTGGAGTCTTGGGGCCTCGTTATAAGACTGTCGTGGGAGGGTGTGTCATGGAGACATTATGGAGACACAACTTCGGGTTTTCCACAAGAAAAGTGCCAGTTCCAGAATCATGGCTTTATGCCCGGTTTCACTGAAGTGCAGATGGTATCATTGTGAAGAGGGATGGATGCTGGTAATTCCAGCTGCTTGCTACACTTTCTCTTCTTCTTGACCTAGGTCTGCTTCTAAGAACCACTGGCTTCCTTTTGTGGTGTATGCAATCTCTGGCTATAATACCTTTCCCTTCCTTGGCAGGACATTGGCCCATATTTTCTGCTACATGGGTTAAGAAATCAGTTTAGTTAAACAGTTGATCAGTTTATACTCAACTGTGCCATCTCCTTGTCTCTTTATTAAAAAGGACAACCAGACGGACAGTGGTATGGTTCTTGCATCAGAAGAGCTGAAAACTTTGGAAGACAGAACCAAATTAGCTCCATCTTTTAGGTAAGACTCAGCCAAATAAAAAAAGACAATTTTTTAAATAGGGATTTTTGGAAGGAACTTAGGATTTTAATGTAAGTGCAGGTTCTTTTAGTGTTTTTGATGGTTAGCAAAGATAGAATCCTAAATCAGCAACCTAACAAAGCACTGAAACAAACCAAACAGTGAAATTTAGTGACAAGTCTAATAAATTAGAGGATTTGGTCAATTTCTATGACAAAAGTCATAAATACTAGGGAACTTCTCAGTGTGTGGTCAGTAGTGTCTATGTTACTGGCCAAAAAGGAAAGAAGTCATTGGCTATGACTGCTAAGATTATTGATATGGTAAAAATCTTTGTGAACTCTAAAGAATTTTCAAACTAGTATATGTATGGGTGCATCTGTACTTAAGATTTTTGAAAGGAACTTAAGACTTTTAATGTAAGTGCAATTTTACTTTTAGTGTCTTTGGTAGTATGGTATATAAATAGGTGCATATTTATTTAAATATTTAAATCTTATTGTTTGAATCATTAAGTATTTAATTGTGGGAAAGGTATTAAATTTGGGTCTGAATAGACTCTCCCCCATATGGTTCAATAGGAATTTGTTGTGTTGAATATATATACCTTCTTTTAACACACAAAAACATCATGAAAACCTGTATTTACGTAAGTAAAAGGTAAAAGTTGTTATATATTTGCTAGAGGGCTCATTCTAGGTAAGAAAGAGGAAAGATTTTGTCTACATATAATGTAACTATTACATGAAGTAGGAATGGCCATGGGCTTTTGAATGATACCATGTAATAATAATAATAACAATAAATGTGCCATTGTGTGATTTTATTGTTTTTTTTAAAGCCCAATAAGAAATTGTGAGAGCCAATCAATTGTTTCACTCATTGATTCAAATATTTATTCAGGCCAGGCACCAGTGGCTCATGCCTGTATTCCTGTCTACTCAGGAGGCAGAGAACAGGAGGATTGTGATTCAAAGCCAGCCCAGGCAAATAGTTTGCAAGACTCTATCTCAGAAATACCCAACACTGTAAAGGGCTGGTGGAGTGGCTCAAGTGGTAGAGTGCCTGCCTAGCAAGCATGAGGCCCCGAGTTCAAACTCCAGTACTGCCAAAAACAACAACAACAAAACGAACTGAGTTATATAATAGAAAAATTAAATTTGTTCTAAGTTGTAGATTAGCATTAAAGAATGAAAGCTTCTATTTTTTCAAAAAGGTTGAAACATCTCAAATTGCTAGTTTTCCACCATTTTAAACCATACGTGAACACAGTTAATAAAAACCTTTTTTTCTAGCTTTTAACATGAGTAATTTTGGGTAAAACATCTAGTAAGGGGGAAAGACAACTTAGAATGGCTTGAAATAGCCCAAATCCTGAAGTTTTCAGTCAACACAGCCTACATTCATAAGCTTTGACATGATTACTATGCTATTGAAAACATTCTTCAGTTGCTGCCGAGTGATTGGGTCCTCAGCCTGTCCAAGGAATGTGGTTTTGATGAGCAAAAAGCAGTGTTTGACATGTCTGACTTGATTGCACATAGGCTTCCAGTTTTTCGAGTTTAAAGTTGCTCAAGAGCTTTATCCACGCCCTACATGTGCTTGTAGTCCCCTCACTGACACAATGGTGAAGGCACCAGTGAACATTCAGAGCATCCTCAGTCCCTTCAATGTCATAAAAGAGGCCTTCTGCCATAAAAATATTCCATTGGAAGGCGCCTCTACATAACGCAACAGAACTGCCTTCCAACTCATCCAGGCCTGAAAGACTTGAACCTGAATAAGATGACTTATTTGCAACTACTGATTCATGCTGGTATCTGAAAATAGACATTGTCTGAGCAAACCTGATATGGTGATTAAGAACCAAGAGAGAGACCGACTGGTGTCTCCAGGGAGATTACAGCCCTCATAGATCTGGGAATGAGGTTAGAGTGAAAAGCCACATGACTGTCTTCCCCTGTCCAACTCATTTGGTTGTTATTTCTTCCACAGTGGACTGATGCCCAGTAAAAGCAGGGAGTCCGTGGCATCTGAAGGCTCCAACCAGACAAGTGGCTACCAGTCTGGGTACCACTCGGATGACACAGACACCACCGTGTGCTCCAGTGAGGAGGCAGAACTTTTAAAGCTGGTGGAGGCTGCAGTGCAAGCTGGCAGCTCAACCCAGATGCTCCAGCCTGACTTGGGGACCTTGTTGAGCTCGCCTCCTGTTTAAATGGAGGCACCCATGCCCCCCATTCCTGGAAATCACATTGAGAGGTGCTGCTCAGATTTTCAAGTGTTGTTCTTTCCACCACCAGGAAGTAGCCACATTTGATTTTCATCTCAGAAAAAAAAAAAAAAAGGACTGGGGACTGCAGGGAGCTATATTCCTCTAGGCATTTCCTGAGAAGATGCTGTGACTCAAGAATGTGTTTCTGTCTCCTCCCAGTGTTGGCCTTATTCTCTTTTTCATTTCAAAAGCATGTGGAATGCACCCTGCGGTGGGTCTCACCATGGGTTAGAACAAAAGATGTTCAAGAATTGACTCTGTCCTCTAAGAAATAGCCATCCTTGGGGAGTGGACAGCTCTGTAAAACTAGATCAACCAAGCAGTGTAAGTGCTTTGGGTGTGAAGATGGGAAAGACTCATAGGGCTCAGCCCACCTGAGAGGCTCTGTTGAGGATGAGAGCTGCAAGCCAAGTCTTAAGTGTGGGATTTGGACTGATGGAATGGAAGATGTAAGCCTGCTTAGAGGGAGCGTTGGGAGCCTGCAGATGCGTTGTCTTGGCTCTGGCAGAGGTGGGCAAGTGGCCTGTGAGGCAATGCAGAAGCTGTGGACCAGGATTCTGGTTTTAGAAGGTTGCGTGCCCATCCCAGTTGTGCTAAAGGCGAGTTCCTTGTGCCGTTTCCGCCTCCTAATGAGAGTTCCTTCCGGACCCTGATGTGTCTCCTGGCCCGGCCCCAGGAAGGAAATGATGCAGCTCTGGCTCCTTGTCTCCCAGGCCGATCCCTTTATTCAGAATGCCACAAAGAAAGGACATTCGCTGCACAGCTCCCTGGCAAGTTAAAGAGTTTGGACAGTGCAAACCAGCTTCTGTTTTCTTCTGGATGAATACCCACATATCTGTCCTGATGGGATGTGCCCCAGACTGAATGCAGTAGGCCCAGAGTCAAGCTGTGGTGGCAAAGTTTCAGGAAGGATTGCAACCTTTTGTTCCTCCCCCACCCCAACCCACTCTCACCCCCAACCCATCAATCAGTATTTTAGTTTTTGGACTCTACGCTCCAGAAAATTAGCCAGATTTCAAAACCACTTTATAGCCAAAGTTATAACATCTATTTTATTATTTAGACTTTTAACATATAAAGCTATTTCTACTCGTTTTTGTTCTTCCTTTTTAAAAAAAAAAGTGTATTTTTCCTTTGGTACCATAGTGTGAGACGCTGGGAACAATGACTATAAAACATTCTATGGCACACATATTTATAGTCAGTTATGTAGAACAAATGTAATATATTAAAGCCTCATATTATATATGATGAACTTTGTACTATTCACATTTTTGTATCAGTATTATGTAGCATAACAAAGATTGCAATGCTTTCAGCAGCTGATGTGATTTTATTAAAAAACGGAAATCCTTGAAGGAATTCTTTTCTAAAGTTGCCTATCATTTCTTTCATTACTAAAATGGAATAGGAGGAAATAGATGTAATGTGCTTATTTTTCAATTTTACTTGTCCCTTTTCTCTTATAAAGAATATTTTCATAAACTTGATATATTTTATGAACCAATAAATGGATTTACAGTAAGATGAAACAGTATAATAGCATCACAGCTATTCTGAGGATAAGAACTTCGGGTTTGAGATATAATTGTTTCTTCAGCCTTCTTCACTATGTAACTAATTCTTGCACAAACATGTTCTTGTCATAGCCTGAGCACTTTTGAGATTGTTAACACATAGACTGAGACCTAAGAGACTCTGCGGCCCCGCAGTGAGCCTCATGTCTGTTAAAAGAGCCAGTCTTGAAACTCGGGGTGAGAGATCCTGAGGCAGGTGGTCAGAGCTCAGGGAAGCATGGGGCAGATGTAATATTCCCCTCTCTACTTAGAGAATCGGAGCACCAGTTCCATTACTGACATTTTCAGCTATTACTTTCCCCTCAATACAGAAAGCAGGATTATGTAACAAATCATGGCACCAATAAGTCGCTCTAATTTTTTGTTTTAATACAGGACTCTGAAATGTTTATCTAGTCAAATATGCCTATCTTATTTTTAAAAAATAACTTCTTATTTTTTTAATCCTGGAGAATTTCCCCCCAATCTAAAATAATCCCAAATTCTAAATTTTCTTCTTTTATTCAGTCCACATCCACTTGGGATTTATTTTCACACATGGGATGAGACAGGGTCTGACTTTCTTTTTCTTCCAATCAATTGTCAATCATGGTGGCTCCATTCATGAATTCTACCTCTCTCCCTGTTGTTGGAGAAATCTCTATCTTGTATCATTTTTCAATTCCTATCATCAAGCTGAGATGGTCTGATGGCTGTGCCTGTGTGTGGTTTCTGAGGACAGTCTGGGTGATGAGCTGGGATTAGTGGATTAGGATCTTCTGCCAGACTTCCATTAATCAGGGTGGTGTCAACCCTGCAGAGTTGCTCACCTCTTGCAGTCATTACAACCACTTCCAGTAAATGAATGGATGAAGAGCCCAGGTCATTCAGGATGGAAAGGCCTTGTAGAAAACAGGATTTTTTTCCTTGGGGAAAAAGAAAAGGTTTTGTTTCTCTTCCAAGTAGTTCTGGCATTGTTTCCAATGTCAGGAATTTGGATTCTGCTGAAACTTCACACTTTATTAAGAAGTGCTTTTTGCACCTTGGGCAGAACGATTAGAAGTTTGGCCTTGTCTCACCTCTGTCTTCCATACATCTCACTCTTAGCTCTTTTTTCTCCCCTCATTTGCACTTGGAATGAAGAAAAATTGTGACTTTTTAAAGTGCTTCCTGCATGAACTTATTTCCAGAGCTTTAATTGGAGGCATTTGGTGTGCCTGAGATGAGGCTGCAGCTCCCTGGGCTCCCTCCTCTCTCCTCCTCGGCTCGCTTTACTTCTGCCTCCTCTCAAAGCCCTCTGTCTCCTCACCTTCCTTTTTTCTGCAGGGCACCCTGTGGCCTTTCTCCTCCATGGCATCACAGGAGAGTGGAGTGTGGTGGGGAGGGTCAAGTTCATTACCCCTGAACTAGGTTTTTCTATCAATGCACATTTCCTTTGTCCTTTTCAATAAAAGGAAAGAAGAAAAGTCAAAACTAGATGCTCACAACTTTGTAGTTTCTAACTTAACACAGTTTTCCTGACTCTCGTTAGGGACAATCTACCTCTGACTCAGATATTTATCACCAGAGGATAAAAATGTTGGGAAACCAGAAAGTTAAAGTCTTTAGGGGAAAAAAAGAAGCGCTTCTTCTACACATCTTTGCACATATGCAAGGCCTTTCCCTCTTAGGGGCAGCTGGCATGTGCGTGCATTCTTGGGAAGGCAGTAAGCACATATCAAAAGGGGTTATAACTAGTTTTTATAAAATTGCATTTTTTCTCTTTTTTGTGCTATTGAGGCTTGAACTCAGGGCCTGAACTTGCTAGAAAGCTCTTTACTACTTGGGTCACATCCCAGGTCCTAAATTTGCACTTTTAAATTCATCTCTTCCATGTTAAGAGTGTACACATAAGTTTCAAAATCTGCGTCGTTTTCTTTTTTCTTTTCTCTCTCTCTCTCTCTCTCTTTCTCCTCTCTCTCCCTCTCTTTCTCTCTCTCTTTTTGGCACTACTGGTTTAAACTCAGGGCTTCAAGCTTCTGATGTAGGTACTCTTACCCCTTAAGGCATGCCTCCAGCCTTTTTGCCTTTATGGTCTTATGGTTTTGCTAGAGAAAACCTTAGACTATAATCCTCCCACCACGGGCCTCCTGAATAGCTGAGGTGACAAATGCAAGCCCCCACACGCAGCATGTTTTGTTGGGGGTCTCACTGACTTTTTGCCTGAGCTGGCCTTGAACGGTCATCCTCCTGATCTCAGTAGGTGGAATTGCAGAGATGAACCACTGCACTCAGCCCTGTATAGTTTCATTCTTTTTTTTTTTTTTTTTTTTAAGGAATGTTAAGTCCAATTCTTGGACTTGCAGAAAGCTCCTAAGAGATAAGAAATTGAAATGAAGAAATTGTTTAATCTGTGTTTGAGTGGAATGAAGTGGAGTGGTGGAATCCGGGAGGGGCAACCCAGAGAGAACTTCCATAGCCAGGTAGGCCTGCAGTTCTGGAGCTCATGTGGTAGAACATACCAGCCCAGGAGAGGCCTAACTCAAAGATAAGGGGTCTGAGTTAGGAAGACACATTCTAGTAAAAAGGACTGATAAGAGTTACAGTAAACTGTGGTGGACACAATGACATGTCAGTGAGAGGACACCAAAAAGTATCTGAGATTCTCCTTTATAGCATATGATTTTAGTGTTACTCTAAAACTTCAAATTTAGTGTTTTCACTATTTTTTTAAGGATTAGACATAAAAGAGTGAAGAGAATATATATAATTTTTTTTAAATTTTAGCTTCACCTATTGTTTATATCAGGTACTATAGAACATATAATCAGTGCACTTACCAAAACTGGTGTCTGCATAACCACATGCCTTAATTGTTAGAAGTTTTTAACATTTAGATACATTCAATAGAAAAAGGGTAGGAAATAAAAATGGCTTTTGCTCTAGTTTTGTTCCAACTTTTGCTCTGTTTGTCTTTTCCTTTTCTTCAGGAAGTAATACTTTGGGGATGTCAGTCCATTTTCTGTTACTATAACTGAACACCATAGACAGGGACATTTACAAAGAAGAAGTGATCTACTTAGCTCATGCTTCTAGCTGTTGTGAAGTCTATTATCAAGGTGCTGACTTCTGTTGGAGCCTCCTTCCTGCATCATAGCATGGTGGAGGGCCTCAGATGGTGAGACAGCAAGTGTGCTAGCCAGCACCTCTCTTCCTCTTCCTGTAATGCCATCCTGGGCCCCCTAACTACCTCTCCAAATCCCAAATATCATTAACATATGGTTTGGGGGATTAATTTTTTTAGCTCAGTTAAAGGTACTCTCACAGTGACTGACTTTGGGAACATGTGCAGCTCATAGGGCATAGGACATGGATGGACTCATCAGGGGTCCTCCGAACTAGTGTGTGGCCAGGAGAGGTTGAATGGAATTCTGGTGCTCTGTGTGGGGAATCTCTTTAAGTCAAATGATTTATCCTGACAAAAGGGATGGAAAACATTCCACGTTCTACTCATTGGCACTGAGAGTATATGTCTGGGAATGAAAACCCAGACAAGGCAGAGAAGTCAAGCTAGAGGTACGGTAAGCAGCACCTATAGGCACTTCCCGGGTTAGCTGGCATACAACATCCTGCTGCTCACATTGGGGAAAAGCAAGGTCTCCCACAGAATTCAAGTGCCAAAGACTTGGCCTTTACTACTGAACTTTAAATAAGAGTATTTGTTTATATTTTACTGCATCAATAAAGTGCTTGCAGTGTGCTAGCTATTCTTTGTAGAAGTTTATCAGTGTTAATTCACTTAAGTAACGGGGACTGTAAAGCAAGGTGTAAGCACCACAGTGTAGCTCAGGGAGGTAAAGTGAGGGCAGGGTTCTCAAAGGTACCCTCATGAATGGTTTCCACAGGTGTTTGTTAAGGACTCACTGTGTGCCAGACATCCTGCAGGTGGTGGTCAAAGTGATTTGCTCAGCTGCCTGGACTAACAGAGGAGAAACTCTGCTCTTACTCCGGAATGCTCTGTGTATCTGTCTGGCCTCCCCTTAGTCAACTGGGCATAGTCTCCTCATTGGGTCAGTCATTCTAAACAGAGTTCAGGAACTGCTTTAGGTCCTCTCATACGTAGATTCACCATGGAGTCACCTAACCCAGTGTTAGAGTCAGGAAACACAGGGAACAATCAGGTGAGAGCCTTCTTACCGAAAGCTGAGAAAATTTGTCATGTTCACCTCATGTCGCAAATTTGTGTTGCACTTGTAAAGCAAGATGAGATTCTGCCCATGCTCCAGAAGAATTGTATGTTGGCAAGAATTGACTGACAATGCGAAAGGAATCTTTGGTGTTACCATAGGTGATGCCATGTTGTCTTTTACACTACTGTTCTGCATTTTAAACTCTTCCAGTAGATGAAAATCCACAATACAGAAAGAATAAATTCTACTATTGTTATTTGTTTTGCTAGGAATTCTTCAATAAGAATAGGAATTCTTCAATAAGAATTATTGAATTACTATTGAAGAATTATTGAATAAGAATTATTGAATTAAGAATATTATATAGTGATTTCTCCCTGAGCATTTCAAAATATTATCAGTTAACATGCACCATTTCCCAAATACATCTATTTCACAAAATGAAGGATGCGTCTGTATAAATCACCGTGAGAATCTTTTAAGCATCTTGTACTTAAAGCCAATGGAAATGAATTTTGCCTCATTTCAATCATCATAGGTAGATCATGATATATTGCTGTGCCCTTCTGCTGTCCTGTCCTGTTTAAGTTGGTTGGCAAAT